CCTGTGTGCTCTCTTGTTCGTTCTGTGCGCCCGTAATCCAGTATAATGGCTCCTTTGAGCGTTCTTTGTGCGCGCACGTAATCGTGTAATCGTTCTCTTTCTGGCATACTCCTTTTCCTTTAACCGCTTCCTTTCCCACTTTTCGTATCTCTGGTTCGTCTGCATTTGACCGAGAAAATCTTTCGCCTTTTACTAAAGATTTCCGTGCAGACGGACAATTATGAGTATATGTCAATTTTTGGAAGTCCCCTTGAGAAAGCGGGACAAAACAAGAACAACGGAAGGTTAAGACTCCACAAAGCATCAATTAAATAACAGTTGAGTGAAACCCACCTAATGGAAAAAGCGATCAACGCAGCAAAGGTGCCAACTCGTTCACACGAGTTGGCATTTAGAAAAATATTAAAGTCGTCATCAAGAAATCGAAGGAGTCAAGTATCTGTTTGACAGAAAGTGTATAAAAGTGTTTCTTGAAGGAATAGTTGAAGGAGATGCTAAGTGTTTCCATTGCCTCAAGGTGGTGAGGGGCTAGTTTCACAGGCATTGAAAAAGAGAAAAAGAGAAAAAGAGGTTCATGCGGAAAAAGCTTTTGGTCTTTTTAAGGAATGGATACCCGGCGGATCCGTGGAGGAGAAAAAGACGAGAATGGATGGGAAAAAATGAACCTAAAGAAGTGATCATATTACACGCAAATACCAATAGTTCTTTATCGGATGGTCAGTAGGGGATCAAAAAGGGAACTATAATCAAAAGAGAAATGAATGAGGGAAATTTTTAAAGTAAAATTGATAAACTAAAGTTTTCTAATAGTTTTTTTTTTCGAAAGCTGCTTGAGAGCCAGTCCCTAATTTGAGTCGATGCATTTCAGGTGTTTTCCCCTTGTTAGATCAATTTACCCTCTGGCTGTTGATAAGAGTTTTAGTTTTTAAGTCAAATTCATTGAGAGTGAAGTGTACCCAGTACAACAACTTACTTTCAGTTTTCTTGTAAGTAACACCAGAGAGAGATTTTCTTGACTAATTCTGGGAATGTTTATAGTCTTGTTTTTAATCATACGATTATACAGTGCGTTGCAAAATGATAGGACCACTCTCGATTTTTTCGTTCACACGAGTTGGCATTTAGAAAAATATTAAAGTCGTCATCAAGAAATCGAAGGAGTCAAGTATCTGTTTGACAGAAAGTGTATAAAAGTGTTTCTTGAAGGAATAGTTGAAGGAGACGCCAAGTGTTTCCGTTGCCTCAAGGTGGTGAGGGGCTAGTTTCACAGGCATTGAAAAAGAGAAAAAGAGAAAAAGAGGTTCATGCGGAAAAAAGCTTTTGGTCTTTTTAAGGAAGGGATACCCGGCGGATCTGTGGAGGAGAAAAAGACGAGAATGGATGGGAAAAAATAAGTGATCATACAGTGGTCCACAAATGTATTGTCCCATTGCCATCCAAAAGTTTCTTTCGTACGAAAATCTTGCAAAATAACGATATTCCCAAAAAGTGTAGGGTATTTTGCTTACCCATAATACTCTACTTTTCAGGATTATAAGATTTATCCGTATACATTGCAGAAAAATTAAAGTATAAAACAAAAACAATAAGTTACTTAACAAATAGCTCCACAAAAGTAATGCCCCACTGATCGTTTGCATGATTATTCTTTTTGTTTCTCCTTCTATGAACATTAAATATATTTTATTGTATTATTTAGATCCCTGACATGAAAAATCTTGACACTCCGAAGAAGCTCCAAATAGCTAAGGCCCGGAAAAATGGGATGCGGGAGAAGGATGTGGCCAACCTCTTCAATTGCTCGATATGGACAATGCGCCGTGTTTTTTCTCAATCAAAAGCCGGCAAAACCTTCATCGAGCCCTCAAGAATGGCCGACGACCAATCACAACCATAAAAGAAGTTCGAGCCGTGATCCAAATGGTGAAAAACGATCCGAACAAAACATCAACCGATGGAAGCCAAATGATGAGGGATCAATTTAACAAGGTTGTATCGCCGGAAACGATCAGACGACGATTAAATCAAGCTGGATTATATGCAAGAAGGGCTGCCCGTAAACCTCTGATGAATTCTAAGCACCGGAAGCAGCGCCTTGATTTTGCACGGATCTACCGAAGTTGGACAATACGTGCTTGGACGAAAGTGCTATTTACCGATGAGACAAAAATCAATTTATTTCACGCGGACGGAAACCATCTTATTCGGCGGTCGACTGAAAAGCGATACACACTCAAATACATTCGGCCTACGGTGAAATTCAATGGAGGCAACATAATGTGTTGGGGTAAGAGCCTTTTTAGTATTTTGTCACCTGACTGTTTTTCTTTAGGAGCGATGTCACGAACTTCAGTAGGTCCATTAGTTCACGTCAACTCAACGATGAATGCTGTGACTTACAAGAACATTATGGAGACCCAAATGATGCCTTTTGCCACACAGACGATGCCTCCTGGATGGGTGCTCTACCAGGACAACGACCCGAAACACAAGTCAAAGCTCATGATGGGAACGGTGGTGACTCTTCAAAATGGTACACGAGCACGACTTCCGGGCTGGTTTGCGGCAAGTCGAGTCAAATTGATCAATCCGCCTCCCTACTCACCGGATATCAATGTTATCGAACATCTCTGGTCATTTGTGAAGTCACGACTCAAGGGAAACAAATTCGATTCGAAAGCTGCCTTATGGGTTCACATTCAACGTCTCTAGGCCACCATCCCCCAAAGTCTTTTGAAGAATCTCGTGGATTCCATGCCGAATCGACTCAAAGAAGTAATAAAAGCAAAAGGAGGACCAACCCAGTATTGATTTAAAAAAATTGTGTTGATTCTTTGCAAATGGGGCATTACTTTTGTGGAGCTAATTTTCAAGTAACTTATTCTTTTTGTTTTGTACATTAATTTGTATGCAATGTATACGGATAAATCTTATATTCTCTATAAAAGTCGAGTCTATAGGTAGATAAAAATACCCTACTCTTTTTCTGAAATGTCGATTTTGCAAGATTTCCTTACAAAACATACTGTTGGATGGCAATGGGGCATTACTTTTGTGGACCACTGTATATTGATCTCAATCTCACCCGTGAAAATGTCCCTGCAAATTGTCCCTGCAATCCAGCACGATTCAACCGCCGATTGATGCTCCATCGCGAGATATCCTTGCCAGAAAGCAATGAATCTCGCAAAGGAATGGACGCACAGTGCTTAACCAATATAAGTAAAGAAGGTTTGGAGTCGATGCAGTCAGTTTTTGGGCAAATTTACGAAAAAAAGAAAAATAACGAAAAATGGTCTGGTTGTAAGTTTGATTTTGCTCTTTTTCTCTTTCGGGTTACGGTAATTTATTCACGTTCTAGTGCGCCGTAACCCAGAAACCACATTTTTATTTTCAAAAGGCTTATAATTTTTTAGGCTTTATCAATTTTTATGTTTTTAGTATCAAAAGATATAGAAGAACCCGTAGAATAAAACTTGTGGTTTACGTTTTTGTTTTAGGCTCTCGTTTTTAAAATATGACTGAAATTTAACGGTGTAAAATCAGCAAAACTAGATTTTTCAAAAATTTGTCGGAGGGATTTCAACAACTTTCTTCATTTTTGTATTCAAACACAAAAATCCTATAGAGCACGATTTTTTTGGTCTTATTTCGCGCGGATGTGCGCCGGTGTGGATGGTGAAAAAATTTGAATCGCCTGTTGAGAGAGAAAATCCAAATCCCCGCCATATTTCCAATTTGAAAAAATCTAAAATTTTTCTTTGGGAGTTGCTTAAAAATCTTTTCCGAACTCGCCAAACTAGCTAGATAAGATTTCTCTGAACTTAACGACGCACTATTTCCCTTTGTCTGCCCTATTTTCTTGCGTAATTCTATCTCTGCGAAAAATGACTCTCTTCTCTGTTCTCTTAATTTGGGTAGTGGCTGAAAGAAAGGCATGGTTCCGCATTTTGGTTCATGCTTCATATTTCTCCGCTTACTCATCATTATCATTTACATTTTAGGAGAAACCTAACAAAATGCAACTTTTCAGACCTATTGATAATGTGCCAAGAGAGAAATTGATGAATGTTTCTCGGAAATAGCGTGGTATATAAAGATTAGCTGATGATGTTGAAGTAAAAACTGTCGTCTCAACTAAAAATGAAGTGCCTTTTGGTGATGGTTGTGCTCATTTCGATGTTGGTCTTGATCTCCAAACAATCTCCTGATGAGGACAAGGACAAGAGCGTTGCTTCTACGGAAATAGAACTACGAGATCCGATCGTACAAGATGACAATTCGTTAACAGGTAAATAAATGATTCAATTTGTCACAGTTTGCTTTAACCTCCGAAAAAGCTACTAAAGCCTGAGCCAAAGCCTGAGCCAAAGCCTGAGCCAAAGCCTGAGCCAAAGCCTGAGCCAAAGCCTGAGCCAAAGCCTGAGCCAAAGCCTGAGCCAAAGCCTGAGCCAAAGCCTGAGCCAAAGCCTGAGCCAAAGCCTGAGCCAAAGCCTGAGCCAAAGCCTGAGCCAAAGCCTGAGCCAAAGCATGCCACGCGATCTGTTTTCATATAAATTTGTGAGCAAAGAGAATATTCACATATTCGATTCACACCGAACCATGATCATTTCAGCCGATGAAGAACCGAAACGTCATCACCATCGACACCGGCGTGGTCTTGAATGTAATTTCTGTTGTGGAAGAGGTGGATGCAATGTCTGCTGTTCGTGGAGGAAGTAGATTCGATTCCTCACTTTTTTTGTGATGTCTTCAATAATTCAATAAAAATAAACCTGATTCAATAAAAAGTAGAATTTGAAATTTGCAAAGATTTGAAGCGATGAGTGAGCACATTTATTTTCCATTTATAATATTTCCTATTCAGTAATTTGCTTACTTTACCCATTCAACAGTGAACAACGATGTGAAGAAGCTATGAAACCATAACAAAACAAAACCATAGCAAAAAGGAGCCTAACACTGCAACCAAACAATGAGTGTTTAAATCACGGCAATTATTCCTTGCAAATCAATTTCCTTTTTTTTTTTGAAAGTCCTGGCAATGAGCGTCGACTCTTCCGCTTTAGACCAAATAGTACCAATCTAAAGCGTACTTAAACCAAAAAGTCAAAATCAAAGAATCACCTCTCTTTAAGATCTTCAGGAAACATGGGCTCTCTTCGAATAGGTACAATTGGAAGATCCTCGTCCACCTCACCGTCAATTGGCCCTAAACACTTGTGAAAATGTGTAAACAACTATAAGCCTACCAATAGAAGAGAGATCAAGTTTGGCCTTAAATGTGATCCCTTTCTCTTATTTGCTCCTTTTTGGATTGAACAGTGCTTTTGGATGATTTCTCGGAATCTTTTCTTTCAGCTTTCAATATTGCCACTTTTGCAAAGGTCTCATTTTGCTGAAAAGTTTTAAAACCTCAAAATTACCCTTCAATTTTCTCTCTCTAGTTATCTCTCAATTATCTCTCAACTACAACACAAACCGCGAAAGCACTGGGTGCTACGTCGTCGGGGTTTTGAAAAGAATGGGAATTTTGAGAGAAAATGGGAAGACGAAGTCTACTGCTGCTACGTTTTACAGTGTCTTTCGGAAAATTCAACTCTAACTCTTTCAACCGTAACTCTTTCAACTCTTTGAAAAGTGTTTGTCCACGAGATTGGATTAGAAAACTATTAGGTTGGTGCAGATGAAACTTCCGTTGGAACCATAAACAAAATTTATTATAAAAATCCTAATACAGAACCTCAATCCAAAAGATATTCGCCATCATTATCAATGACTCTTTGCCATCTTCCACGCAGAGAATGGATGCCCTTTTCGAAGAACTCGGGCAACTGCGACTCGAAGAAGTTGGACACCCAGATTTCAACTTCTTCGCGGTTTTTGAATTTTTTTCTGCTGAAGAGTGCTGCATCGACCGAAACAAGTGGTAGTCGGATGGGGCCAAGTTCGGGCTATATGGTGGATGAGGCAGAACTTCCCAGCCCAATTCCTCGATTTTCTGCTGAGTGATCTTTGCGGTGTGGGGTCGAGCGTTATCGTGGAGGAATTTTGTAGTCGCCGTGTTATTGCCTTGACGACGCAATGCCTGGTCCACGCGGCTCAATTGGGCTTTGTAGAGATCCGCCGTGACTCTTTGGCCCGAATCCAGCACCTCAAAATACATGAGACCTTTACTATTCGACCAAATACAAAGCATCACCTTTTTTCCGTGGATATTCGGTTTGGGAGTCGGTTTTGGCGGTTCACCGGCGTCCAACCACTGCCGTTTTCTTGCTGTGTTGTCGTAACATATCCACTTTTCATCTGCCGTAACAATGGAGTCGAGAAAACCGGCGGTCTTTGCGCGGCGGACAAGAATTCCAGCCATCGTAGCTCGAGCCGCTTTGTTTGCGTCGCTGAGCTGATGTGGCACCCATTTTCCACACCGATTCGTCTTACCAATTGCGTGCAAATGGCGGAGAATGGTTGTATGGTCGCAGTCACACAGCTCTGCAAGCTCCCGAGTTGTTTGGCATGGATCCGATTCGATAGCGTTCTCCAACTCATCGTTGTCGACAATTTGGGGTGGATTCCGGGTTTTTCGTCTTCCAAACTCTCATCACCGTCTCGGAAGCGCTGAAACCAAGTCCGGCATTGACGTTCGGACAACACATCATCGCCGAATGCTTTGCACAGAGCACGATGAAATTCCGCAGGCGTTCTGTCTTGTTTAAAATCATACAACAAGCAAACCCGCACTCGAAATTTTTCGTTAACCATTTTCTAGAAGCTAAAAATTACTTCAAATTAAGTAAAACGCATAAGTCTTAGATATCAAAAGACGCGCAAAGAGACGCTCTTTCAGATAGACAAATATCTTCAATAAAAACTTTTATTAGGTTCAAAATATAAACAAACAAGTGTGACGGAAGTTTCATCTGCACCAACCTAATAATTTCGAACTTTAAAGTTAAAGCTTCGATACTAGGCAAGTATTCTGCCTGTCGATACTAGGCAGAATGGGTTTAAAGTTTGATACATTTATTTCAACCTCTCAGTCTTATTCTTTTTATCGCCTTCCAGTGCTTCTGTATGCAGAGATAAAAAGATAGCTTCTGTATGCAAAAAGATAGCTTCTGTATGCAAAAAGATAGCTTCTGTATGCAAAAAGATAGCTTCTGTATGCAAAAAGATCGACAACAGTCTTCCATTTTGTTTCATTAGTTTTTCTACTATTTTAGGTTTTCGTGATGGACTCCCGAAGCGAATCCACTAATCGAATGTCGAATCTCGAATTCTACAAGGAAATCGCCATCATTCTCATCACATTTTTCTTGATAAACGGTAAGGGCTGTAAAGAAATCGCTGTAAAACTCGGAAAATTATTTGTAGAGCACTGGTGGATCTTAGAATAGTCTTATTGTTATTTTTAACTGGTCTTATTGTTAATCATTTCCGAGAAGTTGTCCTTTTGCAAAGAACGCTCAGGAGTTTTCATCGGTTTATCACTTTTTCACCAGTTCAAAGAAATTTTAGGCTTGTTAATGTTGATTTATTATTGTTTACCAAATGTAAACGATGTTTTCAAACTTTTGAATGAAACAAATCGCTTCGCCGACCTCCATCACGTAATCACTTGCCTGCAATTCGTGGTGAGTTGAAAATTTTGTGTTGTTTGTATTCTTTTGTTTTGTATTCTTTCAAAAGAGTTGTTTATGAAGCTCATCAAGCTCATCAAGCTCATTGTTTATCAAGCTCATCAAGCTCATCAAGCTCATTGTTTATGAAGCTCATCAAGCTCATCAAGCTCATTGTTTATCAAGCCCATTCTCCTGATCTCAATTTAAGTTCGCCATTCTCTCCGTTTTCACCAATATTATCAGTGCCTGGTGCTGTTGGAAAGGTCGACGATTTCTATCAAAAGCTATCTTTTTATTATTGACTGCTGCTTCAACGTCTCGTTGTTTATTTTCGATTTGCCTCATTTCACCCTTTTATTGCACACTATCAACATTGTGAGTTTTAGCCATTTACAACTTCAAATTGTGGTCATGAAATGTGATTGGGAGGGATGTGCCTAGCAGATCTGTGCTGGTCTGTCCTTGCCCATTTGCTGGTCTGTCTTTGCCTAGTCTGTCCTTGCTCAAGCTAGGTCTAGTCAGGGCTAATCTGAGTCTAATCTGTTCAAGCTTTGTTCCATCCTGAGATGCCTGGATCTAGTATAGAATGGTATAGTCATAGTCAAGTCATCTGGTATAGTCAAGCGAATGAACAAAAGTGTGAACTTGTTCAAGATCTGGTCGTCCTGGCTTGTCCTGGAAATGTGATTGGGAGGAGGGATGTGCCTAGCAGATCTGTGCTGGTCTGTCCTTGCCCATCCCCTTAAGTAAATCAGTTAGTGGAACGGTAAATAAAAATGAAAAAAACTTTAGCATTCCATTCCCTCAATGTTCCCCAATTGTGAAACAAATTTACGCTATAGTGACAAACGTTCTCGGCGCGTCTCAATGGAGTACAGGATATCTGCAAATCGGTCAGAATTCCAGAATTAAGAATTCTAGAATTAAGAATTCCAGATAATCTTCTTTTAATTTTATTATTTAAAATATTATAATTTTAATTTTATTATTTATAAAAAATTTAAATATAAAATATTAAAATATTAATTATTATATTATTAAATTTTTTAATTTTTTATTTTTTTATATTTTATTTTTTAATTTTTATTTTATAATATTTTATTTTATAAATTTTTATATTATATTTTTTTTTTTTATATTTTTTTTTTATTAAATTTTATAAATTAAATAGTGTTCCAACAAAAGTCAGTTCAGCTCGATTCCTCTTAGACTTTACAATGGCTCCTTGGTGTCATTGTGGTGCCAAAGTGGTGTCATTGTGGTGCCAAAGTGAACGGCTAAATTTACTTTATATACTTTGTCACCTTTTTCCGATTTCATGACTATGTATGCATGAAATCTTTGAGCCATCACCATGAGTTTGTTGCCATAAAATTTAGAACTTTATGCTGGCAAATGTAAATGATGTCGCTAAAGACCTAGACAAACCGAGGCCGAGACAACCCGCTTCCCCGACCTCCATCACACTTTCAATTCCATTCAATTCCATTCAATTCCATTTAATTCATCGTGAGTTGGAAATTTTGAATTCTTTCAAACCTTGTTTATGAAGCTCATCAACCATTAAACCAAACATCTGAGCCACCACCAAACTTTGTATTAAAACTTTATACTGACATCGTGGAGTCATATTAGAGTGAAGATATAAACTGAGATTTTTAACCAAACACTTTATTCATCTGCAATTTATGAGGTCTTACATCAGAGATTTTCAACTCGCCTTTTTTTTTAAGAAGTGTCGCGCTTTTCCAGGGAAACGATGATCGCTGAAACGCTGATCATTAAAGTGTAGCTATCCTAATAGCGTTTATTATGCACCACCATGCCAGTAGAAAGTTTAATTAAGTTTAATTTGATGCTAAAAATCTCATGATGGTGGTTTTAGGCTCAAATTTCATCAATCCATAGTCATGTAATCGGGAAAGAGTGACAAAGAAAGAAAAGTTTAAGGTTCAAGTCTGCGCTGCAAGCGGGCCAAGCGACAGTGCCGATTTTGTGCGCTGTCAGCCAATCTCTTGTGGAGCAACTTGCATGAATACTCGCTTTATCGTGCAGAAAAGTAAAGTTATTGCCCGGATTGTTGTTCAGATAGACGGCTAGATGTTTGTCCAACACTTGTTGATAGTCAAGCGTCATCCGGGTCGAAATAAACTCTAAGCCGACCAGTTCACCGTCTCGAAAGGCTCCCCATACCATACATGATCCACCCCCAAAGTTCCTCGTGCTCAAGACCATGCCCGGCTTTCGTGAATCCTTCCAATATCCTCGAAAACCATCAGCACCATCAACGTTGTACTTCTTTTCGTCACTCTAAATGATCTAAAAATAAAATATATAAGAGATACTAGTAAACCAACTCCCTCCCATTTGGTCTTCTGGTTCTTTTGAGCGAAATTGATACGGGCGGCTTTATGGTCCTTTGTGAGTCGTGGAGCTTGCTTCATGAGTTTGTATTTGAGTATTGAAGATCGTCTGACAACGTTGTGTACAGTTTGGCGAGTGACCGGAAGCTTCATCTCCTTGCGAACCTCTTCGAGTGATGTCGTCATGTTGGAAAGACGTCTCGTAATTGCGCGTTCGTCTTGATCGGTCAACTTTTTCTTCCGGCCCCGTGTTTCTTTCTTCTTAGGAGTCACTTTGGTCTTGAGATATGTACGAATACACTTCTCAGAACGTCCGATGCAACGAGCAATGTCCCTGTTTGAGTGACCAAGCGTGTGGAGCACATCGGTACGCGTTTTTTTCCACCACATCCATTTGTTTTCCAAGTGGCATATTCCAATATCCTCGAAAACCCTTCAGCACCATCAACGTTGTACTTCTTTTCGTCACTTCAAATGATCTAAAAATAAAATATATAAGAGATACTAGTAAACCAACTCCCTCCCATTTGGTCTTCTGGTTCTTTTGCCATGCCAGTAGAAAGGCTCATTGCTCAAATTTCATCAATCCATAGTCATGTAATCGGGAAAAAGTGACAAAGAAAGAAAAGTTTACCCGTCCAAAACACTTTGGCTTTGGCCCCACAACAAACCCCAGGAGCCACTAGAAATTCAGAAAAGGATCGAACGGAATTGACTTTTTTTCTGGAACACCCTCTAGATTAAAGTTTTTCCTTCAGCTTTATCTTTGAATCGTTTCTTGGCCCTTTCATTCAATGGCCTCTATTTGAAGCGAGTTCAAGAATATGCATGGCTTCAAATCGCTCTCCCAATTGTACTTGGAATTGCCTCAAGAGTTATGATGCTTATAAGTAATCGATTTTGTGATTTCATTTTTATGAAATTTTGTGATTTCCTTTTTATGAAAGCTATTTTAGTTCCAAATTTGGGAGTAGTGACAGTTGCGACAACGATTCCGCTCGATTTCATGTTAATCTACAAAATGATGGTGGGAAAAGAGAGTCGACTTAATTTTTGAATGTTCAGAAAATGAAAGTCGTCGTCAATGATAGAAGTGAACGATTTTTGCTTGGACAGGTAAAGAAAAGGATGGGAAAACGCTGACAAAAGTGAGAAATAGACCTACTAACCAAAAAGACTTTGAGTGACGGTCCATCAGACTCTCCAATCCATAACCAAAACGAGATTACGGTAGCTCTCATGAACGTGGGGGACTATAGCTTTCACTAAAGCGGGGTTATGCTAGGCTTTTCCTGAGAGGCAGAAGAGATGCTGAGTGCTGACAGACAGAGGTCAGAAGTCAGAAGTCAGACAGAAAGACAGTTCTCTGCTTCAAATCAGCAAAGAACATAAAGTAAAATTAGATCAATCTTTTCAAACAGATCTTATGGATTTCAAGTTTCAAGTGTTCCCTTATTCTCCTCAATTTCTCAATCCAATCCAATTCCATCCATTTCCAGATCATTGCCAACAATATCCCCTTATCTTTTGTTTATCTACTTTGCCCGTTTATTTATATCACTTTGGGCAATTTCTGCCCATTTATCTCCGATTTGGCTTATTATTTCGGAAATTTAATGCAGTTTTCTTTGGGTTTATTCTTCGAGGGGTGAATTGGATGATTATTTATCAAAAAAAAGAGATCATATTTCAGCTGTGTAACGATCTATTTGGTCAAACGAACGGAGAGAATAATTCACGTGAAAAGCAAAATAACTTTGAAAGTTGGGACACGACAACAGAGCTAAGGAAAAATGCAAGATTACGCGTTTTGAATAAATTTCAGAATTATCAGAAGTGTAGAGCAGGAGAAATAATGGCTACAGAAGTGTAGAGCAGAAGAAATAATGGCTACAGAAGTGTAGAGCAGAAGAAATAATGGCTACAGAAGTGTAGAGCAGAAGAAATAATGGCTACAGAAGTGTAGAGCAGAAGTAATAATCAATAATGGCTACAATCTGCACTAATAAAGCTTTAATAAAGCACTAATAAAGCCTCAGTTTGGATAATAATAATGCCTCTGTTGACTTTTGATCAACAAAAAGATTATTTTTTCATCTCATTGTTGCAATCTCGGCGTCAACACGATTCCCGAAAATCGGTGAAAGCGAACGAGCAATGCTTACGCGAGGAAAAGGAAAAAATGGAAAAAGTTCTCCAGAAAAATGTTGACGCCGAGATTGCAACAATGAGATGAAAAAATAATCTTTTTGTTGATCAAAAGTCAACAGAGGCATTATTATCAGAAGTGTAGAGCAGGAGAAATAATGGCTGTTTGAGCTGATTTGAGCTTTAGAGCTGTTTGTTCGAGAGAAAACTTTGAAGCTCCATAAAAGCTTCTCTTTTTCTCCAATCTTTCTAATTTAAAAAAATTAACATGATTATTAATGATTCTGCGTTTTTTGATACCAAATACTTGATGGTTGGACGCGTCCGGACCCGCTCATTCATAATCGGCTGAAATTCATAATCGGCTACGACAGATAGATTGTTTTATATTATGTTGCGTTGATTTGCTCTCGAGCTGCTCAAACGACTCATCGATTCGATTTTGACCAAAGTGAATGCTCTACTCTTTTAATTTGAATCGAGGAGCATCTCTTTTAATTCTAACGGCCGACATCGAGCAGCTTCACCTACACAAATATCTAAACACTTGAAATACAAATCCGGTCGAATTGAGGTTGCTTTGACCAATGTTGAGGACAAAAAAAGCTAAAATGCGGCTAATAACCAATTACGGAGCACTAGAAAGTTAGGTGAAGATTTGTATAGCCTATTCTATTCAACATTGTCGACTCTATCAATGAATTGACGTGAATTCTGAAATCGAAAACCATTCAGAAATTTATTCTAATGCATTTTCATCAGGTTTTCTCACATCTACGTCAAAAACAATGAACTCAAAAACCATGGCTACAGCTTTTTTTCTCACAAAAATGACTTTGACTCTCAAAATTGCAATGAAATTGCAATGAATAGTCATGCCTACGATTAGCTGAACTCACACTCTAAGCTGCCAATTTTCTCTGAATTTTGTCTGAAAATAAACGCAGATTTTAAGTCATCGTCCCAATGACTTCAATTATCTCTCTAAATTTGGTTCCTTATCTGTACAGGGTGCGTCATAATTATTGCGACAAGATACTCAAGGCATTGCACACCAAGAAGTTTCACTGGAAGAAGATTTTTAAACAGATTTATTTAACAGTTTAACTTTATTTAACAGTAACAAATAAGGAAACAAGAGATCATTCGATATGACCGCCTTTTGCCTTGATAACAGCCCTTAATCGGTTCGGATATGCCTCCACTGTGGCCCGAATGTCATCTTGAGGAGTTGCCTTCCATCCTTTGGTTCTTCAAGGTCAAAGACTTCTTCAAGGTCAAAGAGCAGACATTAGCCTCTAAGATTGCACAAATGGAAAAGTCCATCACATTGAGATCCGGTGAGTTTGGAGGCCATTCATCCTTGGTGATCACTGAGGGAAAGTTGGCCACACACCAGTCCTGAACCGTCTTCTTCGTGTGAGCGGGAGCTCCATCTTGCATGAAGGTCCAATTTTGATTGTTGGATCCCAATCCTTCCAAAAAAAGGGGGCAAAAAATAAGAAAGCTGTTTGGAAAACGGTCTTTGAACTCTTGTTGCAATAATTATGACGCACCCTGTACGAATGTGGTTCTTTATCTCTCTAAATTTGCTTCCTTATCTCTCTAAATTTGACTCTCATCGATGACTTAAAATTAAAACCATCGACGACATCAAAAATTTTTCGAGAACACCTTGTTCACTAAAATCACGTGCACTTTTGGATCAAACTCGGTCAGTATTTTATTGACCAAGCAAGAAGTGGCTAAGATTCAAAGACTAGAAACAGCTGAATTGGATATCAATCAAATCTTTCTTGATCATTTAATGCTAGTTTATCGTAAACTGAGACTCTGTTATTTCCCTCGAATATAGCTGAATGATTTTACTGATCAAGCAAGAAGCTATAAAGACTTAAAGACTAGAAACAGCTGAATTGAATGTCAACTAGATCATTGCGGTCCCTTAGCTCTCGAGATTAGTTCTGGCACATATCACGCAGTTATAAGTCACTTTTTTTCTGAATTTCGCCGGTGAAACAAAGTTTTCGAAGCATTCACAATGTTTTTATACAAATCGTCGAACGAATTTTACTTTTATTTCACTTTAATACCATTTATTAACCAATTTCTCGGCCTCGTCAATGGAACAAAAAAGTTTATCGTAGAAACATTTCAGACATTCTTCTTTTTCGGATTCTAAATAGTGAGATTTCCATATGCAATTAGATTGAAAGAGAATTTCATAGTTGTCAGTGTCAGTGTCAGTGTCAGTGTCAGTGTCAGTGTCAGTGTCAGTGTCATTGTCAGTGTCAGTGTCAGTGTCAGTGTCAGTGGAAAACGATTTCAACCACTAACCATCACACGTTCTGAACAACATCTCCTCAAAAGAGAGAAACATTGGAAACCATACACAAACCATTATTGGGAAGAACTTCTCGTAGTCTTCGATTAACTGAAAATGTGCGGGAGTCATTTATGAGTGATTTCAAATAGCTTTTAACCTGTTCAACGTTATCCCATGGCAATTTCACTCCATCTGAGTGCTTTTTCAATGTGTCATAGTAGTGTTGAATGTAGAAATCTCTTCTGTAAAAGCAAAAAAAAAAAACTTCTCAAACTTTTCAAAAACTGACTTATTTCTATAGTTATCAGCAGTGACAGCGCTTGTCAGAATTCTCATTAGATCTTCCACTCCCGAGCTGATATGAACGACCTAAGAGATTTTGTCTTAGTTTATTTAGATCATTTAGATTATTTAGATTATTTAGATTATTTAGATCAATTAGATCATTTAGTTTATTTAGATTATTTAGATCAATTAGATCATTTAGATCAGTTAGATCATTTAGATCAGTTAGATCATTTAGATCAGTTAGATCATTTAGATCATTTAGATCATTTAGATCAATTAGATCATTTAGATCATTTAGATCATTTAGATCAGTTAGATCATTTAGATCAATTAGATCATTTAGATCATTTAGATCATTTAAACCATTTAAATCATTTAAACCATTTAACTCATTTAAACCATTTAACTCATTTAAATCATTTAAACCATTTAAATCATTTAAATCATTAAAATCATTTAAATCATTGAAGTTCACCTGCCAATCGATGAAATTCCTCACATGATACTCGCCTTGTTCATTCTTATCCCATATCATATTTCCAGGCCACCTAAAATCTAAAATTTCGAAATTTTCATCGATTAAACTCACATGTCACCATGGCAGAGAATTTTGTGAGCAGCTGAAATTTGTTCTCATCGTTCTCTTTCAATATCACTTTTTTAAAATTCACTTACAAAAGTGCTCGAGTTTCTGTTTGTAAATCTCGGGTGTCTCATAAATAGGCAACATCTTTTTCATCACCTCCACTTGATGACTTCTTTCTGGGTATTTTGCCGTGATTTGGTCTAAGCCTTGTTCGATTTTCTGAAAAAAAAAGAAAGCAGCTATATAGTTTGAGCTTGTCTAAGTTTTAAGTTGTAAGTTGCAAGTTGTAAGTTGTAAGTTATAAACCGTTTGATTAACCCATTCGCTCATTAACTCATCCATCCAATGTGTGTCCATTGCATCAACGATTTCTGGATTCTTTAAAGCTAAAGGGAAATAGGGAAATAGTGATATTGTGTCTTTTGGCACTTACAAAATGCGGCTAGTTTCGCTAAAACGTCAATGACATCGATTGCGCCTGACTCTTGTACGGTGTGATAGAAATGGCGATGAGCGAAATTCTCAAAATGCTCCATCGCAAAATAACCTGGATTTTTAGTTTTTTCGTTTTGTCGATTCTCCTAACCGGCTTCAATTCCCTCAAAATCGAAATCCCTTCCACAATAATATTTCGGCACTTTCATATCGCGAACAAATTCGGGATTTGCGTGCGCTTTCTGATAGAAGTTGAACTCGGCGTCGTGAACCTGAAATTGATCTTGAAATTGCTCTTCCCCCAAATCAAATCCATTTCTCACTCTTCCCCCGTCATCAAATCATCCAAATCTCACTCTTCCCCCGTCATCAAATCATCCAAATCTCACTCTTCCTGCCATTCCTTTCATTGAATCGAAATTGATTTGAGCGACTTTCTCACAGAATTCCTTCAATTTGTCACACGTTGTGATCTTCAAGACCAACTTTGCCGGCAACCTCTCCACATCTTCGCTCCAATCAAACTCGACAAGAGTGATTTTTGAAATAAAACCCTGGAAAAGTCGATTTTATGCTAATTTTTGCTAATTTCAGGCTAATTTTATTCTAATTTTATTCTAATTTTATTCTAATTGTATTCAAATTTTTCTACTCACTCGTCCATCGCCGATCATTTTTGCGCTTCGCTTCTCGCCGGTTTTCGCTTTCGTGTTGAACGCTCTCTAAATAGGATTTGATTTCATTTCATTTCATTTCATTTGATTTCATTTGGTTTGATTTCATTTCATTTCATTTCATTTCATTTCCTTTAATTTCATTTAATTTCATTTAATTTCATTTAATTTCATTTAATTTCATTTAATTTCATTTGATTTAATTTTATTTAATTTTATTTAATTTCATTTAATTTCATTTGATTTAATTTTATTTAATTTTATTTAATTTAATTTCATTTAATTTAACTTCATTTTATTTCATTTCATTTCGTTTCATTTCATTTCATTTAATTTAATTTCATTTCATTTCATTTAATTTAACTTCATTTTATTTCATTTTATTTCGTTTCATTTCATTTGAAAACGGTTTCTTAAATCGATGAATGCTTCTAAAGTAAGCATGAGCTCCAGCTTACTCGAATCTACTCTTTGATCTACTTTGATCACAGTTTACTCTTTGATCAAAAAGTTGAGTCATCTATCTATGAAGCATTGTCCATCGCTAAATTCTTTGCTCATCATAATTTAGAAATACTCAATTCTCACTGAATTCCTCTTTCTACAGCAACTGTGCGTTCCAATTTACCTGAAAATCCTCTTCAACCATCGCCCAAGTGATTGGCGTGTCGATGATTCGCTCAGAGTCGTGCTGGCCATGTTCGTCAGCTACAGCTTGCTCTTCAACAACAATCGGCTCGGTGGGCGCCATTCACTATAAAGTTCTTCATAAACATAAATCGAATTTAAAAATGTTATTTAGAAAAAAGTTATTTAGAAAAAGAGTTAGGTGAGCTTGAAAAATTAAAAATTTGACAAAAAAAAAGATGATTTATCAGAGTGAGAGAATTTTCACGTGATTAGACAAGAATTAATGAGAAAAAGATTGGCCGGATTGACTCGGTTTGGCCTGCTATCAGATACTCTCGATGAAATCACATTTTTTTAAGGCTTTTCCCTCTTTCACTTCTGAAAAAAATTGATAGCGGACCGAAATTTCAGTCTGAATTTCAGTCTTTGACCAAACAGAAAATTCAGAAAATTGCGAAAGCACAGAAAATCTTAGAATTTTAATGATTTCAATTTTTTTATTTATATAAACGATTCTGAAAAGGGAGTAGACAATTTGAAAGTGATCACACTCGATGGACGATGGAGGATTGACGATGGAGGATTGACGATGGACGATGGACGATGGACGATTGATGATGGACGATGGACGATGGACGATGGACGATGGACGATGGACGATGGACGATTGACGATGGACGATGGACGATGGACGATGGACGATTGACGATGGACGATGGACGATGGACGATTGACGATTGACGATGGACGATGGACGATTGACGATGGACGATTGACGATTGACGATTGACGATTGACGATGGACAATTTGAAAATTTCAATTTTTTGACCAAATAGAAAATTGGGAAAGCACAGAAAATCTTGGAATTTTAATGATTTCAAATTTTTATATAATTCTTTTTTATATGAACGATTTTGAAAAGTGATCACACTCGAGTGAACGATTTGAAAATTTTAATTTTTTTTGATCCAACTCACTTTCAGTTTCACAGAGAAGTCAAATCGGATTTTCACTTTTTTTCTTTGCATTTTTTTTTCAACGCATCAAATTTAAAACATTTTGATGATTTCGTGATTTCAAGCTCAAATTGGTGTGCGAAGTTGTGATTTGTGACACAAAAATGCTCGAGTTTCTGTTTGTAAATCGCGTGTGTCTCATAAATAGGCAACAAATAGACAACAACACACTTCTCTTCAGCACCTCCACTTGATGACTTCTTTCTGGGTATTTTGCTGGGTATGAGATTTGGATGGTCTAAGCCTTGTTCGATTTTCTGAAAATCCGATTTTCACTTTTTCTTTTTGGCGTTTTTTTCAACACATCAAATTTTTGATGCTTTTATGATTTCAAGTTCAAATTGGTGTGCGCGGTTGTGATTTGTGAAAGGTAGAAATCAAAATTTAAATCAAAATCTGAAACTTTTGAAAGTTTTATTTGAGTGAACGAAAACAAGAAATACTCGTATTGATATTGAATTGGGTGAACGATATCGCTTGGGGAAATTGATGGCTTTACGCCAATTTTAGCCAATTTTAGCCAATTTTCGCAAAGTTTTTAGAGCAATCTGGATATCACAGAACATGAAGAACATTGAAAAACGTTGAAAAACGTTGAAAAACGCAAATTTAAAGATTGACTAGAACAAACGAGGGTTTTAGGAGAAAGAAAAAAGTCAAGTCAAAGTCAAATTTGATTTGACAAGTCAATTTGACAAGTCAAATTTGATTTAAAGCCTTCAACTACTTGCGCAATTTCTCTCTTTCAACTACTCGCCAAATCAAAAATGATCGGCGCATCGTCCTCGGCGTCCATCTCGACTTCGGGTGGACCGTCGGCTGCGTAGATCTGCAATCTCGGTTTTTATTCACTTTTTTGATGAGAAGTTTTGTTTATTTTCTTTTTTTTGGGTGATCTGGAAGGCACATAGCATCTCGGGGCAATTACTTTTTTTGATTTATCGATACCCAATTTTTCTCCCACCTCAGCGGCGTCTCTTGTCCTCGACGGGCGCGCCGCTTCCCGGATGTGTGCGCGGACGGCGATGGCGGCACAAATGCAGATAGCTCTGAAAAGATGGATAAAAATCGATTGAATACAGTAGCTTTTGCAAAGGAAACTCACCGCATACACGTATTCGCAACAATGAGAAACAGCGGTCCGCCAACTTGTCCGATATCGACGCCCCATGCGTGATTAAACGCAAACATCCACATGTATCTGAAAATATAATATTAGATTATTACTAGATTACTAGATTACTAGATTTCTAGATTATTAGATTATTAGATTATTAGATTATTAGGTTATTAGATTATTAGATTATTAGATTATTAGATTATTAGATTACTAGATTACTAGATTTCTAGATTATTAGATTATTAGATTATTAGATTACTAGATTACTAGATTTCTAGATTATTAGATTATTAGATTATTAGATTACTAGATTACTAGATTTCTAGATTATTAGATTATTAGATTATTAGATTATTAGGTTATTAGATTATTAGATTATTAGATTATTAGATTTCTAGATTATTAGATTATTAGATTACTAGATTACTAGATTATTAGATTACTAGATTATTAGATTACTAGATTACTAGATTATTAGATTACTAGATTTCTAGATTATTAGATTATTAGATTATTAGATTATTAGGTTATTAGATTATTAGATTATTAGATTATTCGACTCCGACAATGATTTGATATCTTGTAAGCATTGATTTCCCATACCCATTCAAAAAAGCCATTTGCAGAGTGGCGACACTGATGTAAATTGTTAATCTGAAAATTTTTTTGATCTTTGATCTTGAAATTTTTGATCTGAAACCTTTTAAATCTTTTAAAAATCGTTTTTTATGTTAAGAATCGTTTAAGATTATTTCGTTTTTTTTCTTTATTTTTCATCTTTTCTTTATAAACCTTGCCGGATCATCCCAAAAATTGTAGGCGCCGCGCATCTCGACCAATGCAATCGCGTGCACGGCCAATAGTAGTAATAGCACTGAAATTCGATAGACCTCGAATCAATCTAATCAATCTAATCAATCTAATCGATCAGATATGCAAAATTGAAGCACACCAACTGTGCTGGAAATGTCCTGGAGACAAATTTACCTATAGAGCGAAAATTAGCGGCACCCAACGGATTCCCCAACCACGCCTGAAACATTTGACCAATGAGCAACACAGAGAGAATGATGAAGAAGAAAATCTAAAGTTTTTCGTTAAAAATTCCTTTTTTTTATGTATCTAGAATTTAAGTGTGATATCCAGATGGAGAAATTTTCGAGTTTTCAACTCTCAAACACACCTCCAAAATGAAAACGCCTAGCAGAATCGTGCGATAATTCGGACCGTTCAACCGATTGACGATCACGTACGAGAGGGAGAAAGGCTTAGGGCGATGCTGGAAATGTGGATCGGGAACTTGACGTACTTGCTTGTACTTGACGTACTTGCTTGTACTTGACGTACTTGCTTGTACTTGACGTACTTGTTTGTACTTGACTACTTGACTTGTTTGTACTTGACTACTTGACTTGTTTGTACTTGACTCACTTGCATCACTTGATGACTCAACCAATCCGCCGACGGTTTTAGCGCCGATCCAATGGAAAGCGAACGGATTTTCGCGTTTATGATCGCGTGAGTCTAAAATGTTCTTAGAATTCTTAGAATTCTTAGAATCACAAAATGACATGAATCTCAAAATGACAAATCTAACCGCAAAAGCCAACACAATAAGCGTCGGAGCTAGCATAATCCCATAGCCGCAAAGTCGACGAATGAATAGAGGAGCTGTAAGATTTGAAAATTTAAAAATAAATATTATTTTAAAAGTCGTTATTTCTTTGTTGGATATCACAGAAGAATTTGAAAAAAATTGGAACAAATTGAATTGGTTTAAAATCGATTTTAAACACTTTGCAAACCTTCAATGAATTGTGTTCCTTGGTCAATATGTTTCAACACATCATTCCCGCCCAATAACAAATCGTAGACGGCGACACCTTTTGTCTAGAACTCTCTGGTTTTGTTCTTTTTTGTTTTCTCTTTTGTTTTGTCCCTTTTTCTTTCGTTTAACTCACACAAAGCATCATTGGGACAACAGTGAATTGAAGTGCTGTATAAAAAGGACTGCTTGGACCAAGGAAATGCCTAAGAATTGGTTTTGTTTTTGGGAACCGACCTCCAGCTGATCCAGCTGATTTTACCTCCATAAAGGTCCACCAGTTGACTCAACCGAAACCATTGAAATGTCGGTTTCGAGTGTTTGCCAACCTTGAAAGTTCAAGTGAATTCAAATTCTAAAGAAAACTCACTTACCATAAACAAAAAAGACAAGCACGTAAATGAGTAGATGAACGATCGATGATTGACTAGCATAACGGAGAAATGCTGCTATTTTCGTGCCCAACTGAAAAAGAAAGAACAACTATTGATTATGAAAATAAATCACTGATTAGAAATAAACCATTGATTAGAAATAAATCATTGATTACAGATAATCACTGCTTACAGATAATCATTGATTACAGATAATCACTGCTTACAGATAATCAATGCTTACAAATCAATCAATGCTTACAAATCAATCACTGCTTACAGATAATCAATGCTTACAAATCAATCAATGCTTACAAATCAATCACTGCTTATAAATCAATCACTGATTATTAGGTTGGCCGTTGATTCTTTCGATTTTTTAACGCTAGATCTAACTTTTTATTTTACACATCAAAAACGCCAAATAAAAAAAAACAGAATTTATCTACTCGAAATATTCACCGTCAACATCAATAACAACCGGCTACTTATCCGGCAACAAATAGATTGGCTTCGAATGGCTTCGAATGGCGTCGAATCGAAAAACTGAGTGAGTGACAAGCGCACCATCGGACTATCATCTGTTCAGGTATTTTGTTCAGAATCGTCCGATTATCATTTTTTCAGGTCTCTGGAGCATCATTTGCGTGGAAAGATCTTTCAAAACGTCGAGGAAATGCGCTTGTCACTCACTCAGTTTTTCGATTCGACGCCACGTGAGTTTTACCGCCGCGGAATCTATTAGGTTGGCGACATTGAAATTTCGTTTGCGTTTCTCTTTATGGATTTTAACACTGTGGATACTATTACCGTCGCAATCTCTTCTGTTTTAAAGATATAATTATTGTGCTTTATTACGCGTCTTTTCTTTATTTCCAGTTGAAGAATTTAGTAAAAAAATCTTATAGATGCTAGACGACCTCAAAATATCGACTTCGCATTTGTTGCTGTCGCGATTTCAAACATGAAAAAAAAGCAACTGAATCGCATGAATCACTTTGTAACGTATTTGAGAAAGATGTTATCACTGTTCATCGATGTCAAAACTGGTTCAAAAGATTTCGAAAGGGTGACAGAAGTCTGGAAGATCTGGGACGAGGACAAACAACGATTTGAAGCGGATAATCGAAAGTGATCCGATAAAGACTACATGGAAACTTGCGGAATATTTTAATTGTGAGCATAAAACAACCGAAAACCATTTGCATGAATTGGGCAAGCTCAATAAAGCTGGAAAATGGATTCCACATTCATTAAGCGATGCAAGCAAAGCCATCAGAGTTCTTTGTTCAGGAAATTTGCTTAGAATTTTCAAGAATAGTGGATTTTGGGATGCAATTTTAACTTCTGACAAGAAATGGATTCATTATGACAATATTACAAGGATAAGACAATGGCTCAGTCCGGGAGAAATTCCAAAGCCAATACCTAAACCAGATTTTCATGGAAAGAAAGTTATGCCGTCGGTTTGGTGGAGTACCCGAGGCCTGGTCCATTTCGAAGTGTTAATTTCTGGTCAGACTGTTGATGCAAATCTTTACGTTCGACAACTAGATCGCGCGGACGCGGTTCTTCGCTCAAAAGGAATTGATCCGACAACGGTGCGATTGTTACAAGACAATGCCTGTCCTCACGTTGCCAAAATTACGCAAGAGAAGATTGAGCAATGGGGCTGGGAAATTCTAGTTCATCCGCCTTATAGTCCAGATATTGCCCCGTCTGACTACCATTTCTTTCGAAGTATTCGGCATTCACTCGAAAGCCACAAGTTCCAGAACATCGAAGACATCAAAAAATGGGTCTCTGCTTTCTTTCAATCAAAACCAGCACAATTCTTTCAAGAGAGTATCCATAATTTGCGTCAAAGGTAGAAAAATGTTATTGGTAGCTGGGGGGAATCTATTGTTGATTAATTGTTTCTAGTTTATTTTTACGAATAAATTTTGTTGTTGCTCAAAAACGAAATTTCAATGTCGCCAACCTAATATTTGTTGCCGGATAACATCCTGCCGGAAGTGGCAGGATGTTATTGATGTTGACGGTGAATATTTTGAGTAGATAAATTCTGTTTTTTTATATTTGGTGTTTTTGATGCGTAAAAGAAAAAGTTAGATCTAAAGTTAGATCTAAAAAGTTAGATCCTGAGCCTGAGCCTAAGCCTAAGCCTAACCCAGAACTCGCTGAGATCCAAAAAATGGGGGTTCAGCCCAAACCCAAATAGACTTAGTGCTAGGCGCCAGCCGCTAGCCTACGCACTAAGTCCAAGCCAAAGCCTAAGCCTAAGTCAAAAAACGGAAAGAACTTTCCGGTCAACCTAATGCAAATAAATCACTGATTAGAAATAATCACTGCTTATAAATAAATAAATAAATAAATCAATCAATCAATCAATCAATCAATCAACCAACCGGCATATACAAAATCATTCCCGCTGCTGTCACAAAGCACAAAAAACCCGAGTAAAACGATTGTGAATGAGTGTGAAAAACGATGAATTGCTCCGAGAAAACAGAGTAGATGTAAAGTGTGTAGATGATCTAAAGTTTGCTCCAGATTGAAAGGATTTTTGTTTAGACCGGGATTATGTGAGAAATTTGAGATCTAATCCCTGTATAGTTTACCAGTTCTACAGCAAGATCGCTGTAGAGAAGAAAACTATAGCTGATTTTTAAAGGCAATATATTGCAATATGTTTCGTGATACTCCAACTTACCAAAGGGCCCATGCATGAGTAGAAAAAGTGCGCTACGTAGAACATAAATGACCACAAAGGGCCGGCGCGAGTCGTCGCCAAACACACCGGAATCACGTCAAATGAATAGGTCTCATCTAAAAATGAGAAATCTCTATATTGTGACATCCAGGATTAGCTTTAGAAAGAAAAAAGCTTTTAGTTATTAAGAATTTTCGCTAGATATTTGGGTGAACAGGTTTTCTATAGGTGAACAGGTTCATCGATAGGCCATAGGTTCATCGATAGGCCATAGGTGAACAGCTTCACCTATAGGCCTTTCTCCTAATCTCTTCTAAACCAATCTCCTAATCGTTTGCTCACCAATAGATCCATAAGTTTTGTAGTGCGGTTGCAATTTGGTTATGTGTCCTTCGCAGCCTGTTGTCAGCACTGAGAGAAAAATGGGGATCACCTAAAAACATTTTTGTGAAGTGAAGAATAATTCGTTTCATTGTGGGATTTGTTTTTTCTTGAAGGTTCGGATTTTTCCAAATTACTTGCCATCATGAGAGGTACCGCTACCCAGGCTAACACTGGTGGAGCTCCATGATTCAACCGACTCACAACCAATAGAGAAATCCCAGTGAAAGCCGTCGAGTAGTCGACAAGTAAAATCGAGCTACGATAGAAACCCTGAAAACAAAGATGAAAGGGATGAGTGCGAATTTAGTGCACAAGGGGATTGGATGAGTGCGAATTTAGTGCATAAGGAGATTGGATCAGTGCTAATTTTGTAAATGCACACCCTCTGACGGCACTTGTTAACAATTGAGTGCCTCAGAAATGGCACTCAATTGTTGAATCGTTGAAAAGCATTGAATTTGTTGAGTAAACACCAAGTAAACCACCTTAAGATCAGTCCAAAACGATTGTGGAACTTTCTCGATTTCATCCTGCGATACCTCGGCTTCAGTGTTACCAAAGGAAAAACCGCTTATCGCTAAGCCTAAAAGATTTCGATTTAAAATGAAAATTCGTGTTGACTCATTTCCAGTTTTAATGTTGACTGATTTCCAGATTAATCAAGTCTCAAAGCTCACCAAAAATCACAAAAACGTAGAGCACACTGGGCAAAAAGAGACAGAAACGAGTGATGAAGAAATCGATCCATTGAGGGAATCTGAAATCGAATTTGGCTTTATGGTAGCTGATTTTGGAGCTCACTTGACGAGTAGACAATAGATTATCGTCCAAATGACGATATGTGAGAAAATGAGCGGAATCGATGGGATCGAGAAGTAGAAAAGCTCGTAGCTACGACCTGCAAATTTATAGAACTCTAGAAAAACTCTAGAAACTCTAGAACTCTAGAAACTCTCGAACTCTAAAACTCTACAAACTCTCGAACTCTCGAACTCTAGAACTCTCGAGCTCTAGAACCCTGGAAACTCTCGAACTCTAGAACCCTAGAAACTGTCGAGCTCTAGAACTCTAGAAACTCTCGAACTCTAGAAACTCTCGAGCTCTAGAACCCTAGAAACTCTCGAACTCTAGAAACTCTCGAACCCTAGAACTCTCGAGCTCTAGAACCCTAGAAACTCTCGAACTCTAGAACTCTAGAAACTCTCGAGCTCTAGAAACTCTCGAACTCTAGAAAAACTCTAGAAACTCTCGAACTCTAGGAAAACTCTAGAATGAGTGCCAGGATTGACTCGAGTCGATTTCTTAGCGTTAGCCACGCTAGAAATAGAGCTACAGTAATCAACTCAACAGTAGTCAACTTAAAGTCTAAACTGGAACTCACCAATGTACCACTCATTCGGTTCCCAAAGTTTTGAGAGGTTTTTGTTGTCGAGAATGTTGTCCCGGATTAAATAACTGAAATTGAGTTACGGTAGTCAGGAAAATAGGGGAAAGGTTACTGTAGTCGTAGTGTGAAATAAAAAGTTTATCAAGACGGCTTTGAAAGCGAATTGTTAAGTACTGTGATATCCAGGATTGAGAAATTTCGAAAACTCGTTTACCGATTGAACTCCTGTGCGGGCCAAAAGTTGTCAGGCCAGTGACTATAGTCGTGCACCTCGGTGACATTCTCGTCGGCGAATGGGGAACACTCACGGCTGTTGTACGAGTGACCGCAATCTGAACGAAAAGGGAAATCGAGATGACTCTAGTAGAGAACAAAGGCAGAACAAACATTTTAGATGTGAGTCTCATTGGTAAACTCTTCAAAATCAATTTTATTGTATTCTTCAAGTCCCATTTTCTACAAGGTGCACCGAAAGTTCCCGTGCTTGTATTTTCTGTATTTTTGGTAATTTTAGATAAAAGATACGATTTTAAAAGTAAGAAATTCGAATTCCTCGCGAAAAACTGATTTAGAAAACGTTTCTGGTTTATTTATAAGTGCAACGCTATTTAAGACAAGTGATTGAGAAGAGAAGCGGACTGCTCAGGGGTGCTTTGGTCGCACAGTTACAGGGCACAGTTACAGGGCACAGTTACAGGGCACAGTTACAGGGCACAGTTACAGGGCACAGTTACAGGGCACAGTTACAGGGCACAGTTACGGGGCACAGTTACAGGGCACAGTTACAGGGCACAGTTACGGGGCACAGTTACGGGGCACAGTTACGGGGCACAGTTACAGGGCACAGTTACGGGGCACAGTTACAGGGCACAGTTACAGGGCACAGTTACGGGGCACAGTTACGGGGCACAGTTACGGGGCACAGTTACAGGGCACAGTTACGGGGCACAGTTACAGGGCACAGTTACGGGGCACAGTTACAGGGCACAGTTACGGGGCACAGTTACAGGGCACAGTTACAGTACTATGCCCTGTAACTATGCCCTGTAACTGTGCTCTATAACTGTTCTAACTCGGTCGTTGACCAAAACTTTATACATCCAATATAAAAAATGTCACATTTTATGTCCAGTTTTCGAAAAACATCTTGGCTCTTGAAAATCTTTTTGATCTATTAAAGGTACAGGCCTGAAGCCCCAAAAAAATGTGGCCCTAAAGCGCCCCTGAGCGGACCCTCTTCTCAATCACTTGTCTTAAATAGTGTTGCACTTATAAATTAACCAGAAACGTTTTCTAAATCAGTTTTTTGCGAGGAATTCGAATTTCTTACTTACAGAAAATACAGAAAATACAGAAAATACAAAGTACGGGAACTTTTGGCGCACCCTGTATCATGCATCGTCAAATCACTCACCAATTGCCCAATCCAAGCTGGTTCTCACTGAGAAAACGATGTAGAGAAGCGTTTGTGCCGCGCGTAACATCTCGGCCAGCAGTCGCTCGCCCACATGAAAGGCCAATGCCCAACCAATGCCTAGAATGCACTCCAGGATTCACGAAATTTTAGATTTTTTCCTTTTCAAACCAACCAGCCGCAATCGGTGTCAAACTGGCATAAGTGTTCAGCGGGCCTTTTCGTGAAAGAGTTGCCACCGAGAGACACAACGATAGAGCGGGAAGAGCGAATAGAGGGAAAAGGATAGGCCACCATCTGCAAATGACAAATGCAAAAGATAATTTGGATAAGTGAAATGCTTTCTGCTTAGCAACCCGTTCAGGGGTTTGTTGTTTCATTTTTTTTGTGTGACTCACTTTGTCGATGCGGCCAACTGGAGAGCATACGGGGCACCGGCGGCCAGAAGACCCGCATAGGCTGATAGGCTTTCCATTTGTTTATTCAACAGTTACCGTATTTGAAGCATTTGCAAGGGAATCAAATTGACTAAACTTTCATATTGCTTTATATCAAAGTGTTGAAATGTTGAAAAACATTCGATTTCACAAAAAGGAAAGAAGACAGAAAGGAAAGAAGGTAGAAAGGAAAGAAGATAGAAAGGAAAGAAGGTAGAAAGGAAAGAAGACATAAAGGAAAGAAGACAGAAAGGAAAGAAGGTAGAAAGGAAAGAAGATAGAAAGGAAAGAAGGTAGAAAGGAAAGAAGATAGAAAGGAAAGAAGGTAGAAAGGAAAGAAGGTAGAAAGGAAAGAAGACATAAAGGAAAGAAGACAGAAAGGAAAGAAGGTAGAAAGGAAAGAAGATAGAAAGGAAAGAAGGTAGAAAGGAAAGAAGATAGAAAGGAAAGAAGGTAGAAAGGAAAGAAGATAGAAAGGAAAGAAGGTAGAAAGGAAAGAAGGTAGAAAGGAAAGAAGACATAAAGGAAAGAAGACAGAAAGGAAAGAAGGTAGAAAGGAAAGAAGATAGAAAGGAAAGAAGGTAGAAAGGAAAGAAGATAGAAAGGAAAGAAGGTAGAAAGGAAAGAAGGTAGAAAGGAAAGAAGACATAAAGGAAAGAAGACAGAAAGGAAAGAAGGTAGAAAGGAAAGAAGATAGAAAGGAAAGAAGGTAGAAAGGAAAGAAGATAGAAAGGAAAGAAGGTAGAAAGGAAAGAAGGTAGAAAGGAAAGAAGACATAAAGGAAAGAAGACAGAAAGGAAAGAAGGTAGAAAGGAAAGAAGATAGAAAGGAAAGAAGGTAGAAAGGAAAGAAGACAGAAAGGAAAGAAGACAGAAAGGAAAGAAGGTAGAAAGGAAAGAAGGCGTACTTTGAGCAATAGAAATTTTGTGAAAAGCAAAAAAAGAATGATGACTGTGCTCTTTTAGCCAATAAACCCCTAGGATTGGCCATCATTTTTCCCATATTTTTCTATAGATTCGATATTTCTTTTTTAGATTGGCAAAGAGAAGGCACTGTTGTCACTATGTCAATAAGGAATCGAGGGATGGTATGAGAGAAGCACGAGGGAGGCATGAGGAAAGAGGCAACAATTCAACAAGTCAACGGGGAAACAATCAGTACACGGCCAATCCTAGGCGTTCGAAGAAATCGTTATAACAAGAAAATAAATGGATAACTAAGCACTGTGCATTCCAGAATTAAGGAAAATAACACAATTATCCAAGTCTCTCTGAGGGATGAGTCTGTAGAGCTCTTCAAGCAATCAACGGACAAGATACCCGAAAATGGTGGTTGCAAGAAAGTTCCAAGTGCTTGCTAAACTCTGTGCACTCCAGAACAAAAGATAAATACTATTTTATGCACGTAAGTGGTAGGATTAGACAAGTAGAGTCAAGTAAGTGGATCGAGACAACTTAATTTCAGGGTAATAGCTGAATATCTATAAAATTTAATAAAGAAAACTAATTTTTGATTAATTTTGATTAATTTTGATTAATTTTGATTAATTTTGATTAATTTTGATTAATTTTGATTAATTTTGATTAATTTTGATTAATTTGGGGGTGGGACAAGTGCGACCTTTTTTTTGCGCACCTGGACATTTGCGCACCTTTTTTTTTGCTGGAAAAGGCCTTAGTTTCCTAAGGCCGTAGAGCTTCGAAAATATTTCGAAAATTTTTCCATATAAGGGAATCGTATGCGTAGATTCCGAATTTCGACAAATCAGACCTCGCTGACACGTCAAATTTGGGCTAAAAGGCAAAAACTACGCAACTTAACGCTTTTCCGCAGTTTTTGCCTTTTAGCCCAAATTTGACGTGTCAGCGAGGTCTGATTTGTCGAAATTCGGAATCTACGCATACGATTCCCTTATATGGAAAAATTTTCGAAATATTTTCGAAGCTCTACGGCCTTTCCTAAGGCCTTTTCCAGCAAAAAAAAAGGTGCGCAAATGTCCAGGTGCGCAAAAAAAAGGTCGCATTTGTCCCACCCCCGATTAATTTTGATTAATTTTTGATTAATTTTTGATTAATTTTGATTAATTTTAATTGATTTTGATTGATTTTGATTAATTTTGATTGGTTTTGATTAATTTTGATTGGTTTTGATTAATTTTGATTGATTTTGATTAATTTCAATTAATTTCAATTAATTTCAATAACATTTGTCAAAAAAGGTAAATGAAAAAATGCAAAAGTGAATACGCTGATGGGATTAAAATGATGAAATTAGGAAATTGGCTCTAATTTAGAAATGAATTGGATGAAATGAATCCAAATCAATCAATTCATGAAATGAAAAAAGCCAAAAAAAAAACACTGTGCACTTACAGACTTATCAAAAATATTTCTATTTTCAATTTTGGAACAAACACGGTAAAGCTAGACCGGTAAAGTCTTCAAATCAGTCTCTCAGTCAACCACAAGACTCAAGAAATGACGAGAAATGACCGTAATGAGAAAATGAGTAAACAATAAGCTCCATTGCACTCCATAACAATAAGAAAATATTAGTATTTTGCATGCAAAAAGGTTGTGGTCGACTGGTAGAGGCGAGAGAGAGACACCGGGATCAATACCGGCCTTCCCCTTTTGTGTGCCCCCTCTCCCCTCGCGGTTTATTTACCTTTTCTCCCCCGTTTTCGATGGCCTTTTTCTATTACTTTTCATAATTTGTCTTTCACGAGATAAAGTCAAAAAAGGGAAAGAAAGGGGAAGAGAAAAGGAATCTGTTTTTGGCAAAATTTTTAATTTGGTCAATTTTTTTTAGTCAAATTCGATATCATTATATTTAGAAGATATTGAATTTGTAATCCGAAAAAAATGCCGAAAAAAAGTGTCATAGCTTTGTCATAGCTCGACTTTTCTCCAATCTATCAGTAGCCTTTGTGATTCAATATTCTAATTCAAACAATTATTCGATAAAAACGAGCAGGTGAGGCAAAAATGACACATCCATTAGTGTCTCTCTTTTCATTCAACGATATATTTCCCTAGTTGGATCGTGGACACTTAATTGTTACTCAAGTAATGCACACACAATATTCCACTTCAAATCCTACCATTAACCTATAAATGATTGATTACCATAAATGTTCATAACAACGGTACAATTATTCTTTCATTGTACAATTATCTTTCATTCAATCGCTGAATAGGCATTGTCAATGGAGTTACTGGAGTGATAAATTTCACTCAAATTACCTGCTTTCTGCAGAACTGCAGTTCTCTTCTAAAACGAAGCTAAACCCTGGAAATGAAAGATTGATTCTTGAGTGCTTAAAGATTGCTTCAGATCATTGCTTAAAGATCATTGCTTAAAAATCATTGCTTAAAAATCATTGCTTAAAGATCATTGGTTAAAGATCATTGCTTAAAGATCATTGCTTAAAGATCATTGCTTAAAGATTGCTTAAAGATTGCTTAAAAATGCCACAAATTTCATCCTTAAATACATCGAAACAGAACTTGGATTCAATCGTGATCGCGTATGCGATTCGTGCTGAAAAGCTGTGTGATTGAAGAATGATAAGGAAAGACTGTGAGCTTTTAACCGTGACGACAAGTGCACCAGAAGGCAAGCGTTTATTAGAAAGCCCAAGTGGGATAAATTTCCGTGCAATGGTTGTCGATCCGATCTTGGCGACTTGGCAACAGTTCTTTCCTCTTCGGTCATCTACAAAAAATAAGGGATAAACGTCAGTAATCTCTCGATGAGCCTGTGCGGCAATGAGTTTTCGGTTGAATGTCGCTGGTGTCTATTGCTAAGATTCTGAAAATGCGTGTCTAGGGGTTATTTTTGATGCTGATCACAAAACACATGTTTTTAGCCAAGGTTTCTGCACGGAAAACTAACGAAACGTGAAAACAGCCATTTTTTGGCTCTGCCGCCCTTTACTAAAATAGCTGTAAAAACTTTTAGAAAAGAGATATCTCAAAACGGTTTTTACCAATCGATCCGTCTTGAATTCAGCTTTAGGATGAGCTATAAAACGTCAAAATTCGACAAATTTAAGGTACTCTCCCAAAAAATCGGAAAGAACTTTTCCACCAACCCAATATTTTTTTTTTTCTTCCTTTTTTTTTTTTTTCTTTTTTTTTTTTTTTTTTTTTTTTTTTTTTTTTTTTTTTTTTTTTTTTTTTTTTTTTTTTTTTTTTTTTTTTTTTTTTTTTTTTTTTTTTTTTTTTTTTTTTTTTTTTTTTTTTTTTTTTTTTCTTTTTTTTTTTCCCCTCTTATTTTTCTTTTTTTATAATTTTTATTTTTTAAATTAAAAATTTTTTAATTAAAAAAAAAAAAAAAAAATTTTTTTTTTTTTTTTTTTTTTTTTTTTTTTTTTTTTTTTTTTTTATTTTTTTATTTTTTTTTTTTTTTTTTTTTTTTTTTTTTTTTTTTTTTTTTTTTTTTTTTTTTTTTTTTTTTAAAAAAAAAAATTTTTTAAAATTTTTTTTATTTTTTTAAAAAAAATAAAGAACCCAATTCAACTAATTCAACTAATTCAACTAATTCAACTAATTCAACTAATTATCTTTTTAGTTTAGATCCGACATCATTTGAGCAACGCCGGAGAGCTAACGCGAGATCGTTCGATTTCCCTCTCATTCATTGGTTGAATTTTTCAAATCATTGCCAGCCATAGCACGTATGCGAGTACACGGGTGGGGCGTTCAAGCGAGATCCCTGTAAAATAAAAGATGATTAAAGAGTAGAGAAGATCCAGCAAAGGTTTAGGCTGGTTATTATTCCTCAAACTGTCATCTAACAACTAATTTCCAAAAGAAAGTCAAGATTTCGAGCAGAAAATCGATTATTCCAGTCGAATTTTAAAATCAATCAAAAAAATCAAAAAGCACTTACAAATGGTGAACAGCTGAATGTACTTTTCGAATTTCAGTGGCGCTTTCTGAAGAAATGGCAGCATGTGGCTGGATCGAAGGATGAGAAGAGGCAATTGATGAGAGATTTGACAAGGAGAGTGGGCAGAAAGTGGGCAGAAACACTAAAAACAAACTCAATGTTGCACAGAAAAGTTCGCGTACCCAGTGGAAAGATTCGAGCTCTCATTGTTGTCGTGGTTATCATCTTTATTGGCAGTATTTCTTGCACTCAATAGTCGATAGTTGTGTAGTCGACAACCGTTTACGACAACCGACGAAACGGAGATCACTTCTAAAAAGAAACAAACATTAGTAAGCTTAAAATGCTACATGAAATGAAGCTTTTACAATGTCGAACTAAACTAATTTATGCGCAAAAATTGATTGGCAAATTTTTTCTTTTCTTTTCTTTGATTTAATGATTTTAAGCAAAGCGCTTAAGCCAAAAATGCAGTGAAATAGGTGAAAATTTAATAATTTTTTTTTCTCAAAAAACCAAAATTTTCACGAAAAATAAGAACAATTTATAAGACTAACAATATTAAAAAGCATAAAACACAGTCAAACCCACCGCTCCTTTGTCGATTTCATGCCAGTGATCCAGAAAGACGAGAAGATGCAAATGAATATTGAGCATTCTTCGGGCTAGATTTAAATGATTTATAAATGCGACAAACCTCCAAAATTCGAAACGCCGTTTAACCGAAAAACGAGAAAAGGTCGGATGGCTTAAAACTTAAAGTTTACGGATGATGCAAAATCTTGTGTGATAATATTTATTCGAAAGATGCCCCCAGCTGTTGAAGTTCTGGCTTTGAATTTACCATAGTGGTTATCCACATTTAGAAAATGACAAAGCGACAAAAGCCAAAGGGATTCTCTCTTTCAAAATTTAGAAGATAAAGTTCTGAGAGATTTGTTGATATTTATCTTTTCTCTTTTAGCGTTAAAATTTCTGAATAGGTGATTCACGAAAAGCAATGTATTTGCAGCCAAAAATATTTTCTCACCTTACAAATAGCAATAAAAGAAGAATATATTCGTCAAAAATGAAAAGGGCAAATGAATCATTCGTCCGATCGGTGGGAATAAGAAGTTTCAATTGAAGTGAAGAGAAAGATGACTGAAGAGGAAAGAGTTGCTGTCGAGTTGAAGAGGGAGGAGTTGCTGTCGAGCTGAAGAGGAAGGAGTTGCTGCCGAGAAGAGGAAAGAGTTGCTACCGAGTTGAAGAGGAAAGAGTTGCTGTCGAGTTGAAGAGGGAGGAGTTGCTGTCGAGCTGAAGAGGAAGGAGTTGCTGCCGAGAAGAGGAAAGAGTTGCTCCGAGTTGAAGAGGAAAGAGTTGCTGCCAAGTTGAAGAGGAGAGCTGTGCGAGTTGAAGAGGAGAGAGTTGCTGCCGAGAAGAGGAAAGAGTTGCTGCCGAGTTGAAGAGGAAAGAGTTGCTGCCAAGTTGAAGAGGAGAGAGCTGCTGCCGAGTTGAAGAGGAGAGAGTTGCTGCCGAGTTGAAGAGGAAAGAGTTGCTGCCAAGTTGAAGAGGAGAGAGCTGCTGCCGAGTTGAAGAGGAGAGAGTTGCTGCCGAGTTGAAGAGGAAAGAGTTGCTGCCAAGTTGAAGAGGAGAGAGTTGCTGTCGAGTTGAAGAGGAGAGAGCTGCTGCCGAGTTGAAGAGGAGAGAGTTGCTGCCGAGAAGAGGAAAGAGTTGCTGCCAAGTTGAAGAGGAGAGAGTTGCTGTCGAGTTGAAGAGGAAAGAGTTGCTGCCGAGAAGAGGAAAGAGTTGCTGTCGAGTTGAAGAGGAAGGAGTTGCTGTCGAGCTGAAGAGGAAAGAGTTGCTGCCGAGAAGAGGAAAGAGTTGCTGTCGAGTTGAAGAGGAAGGAGTTGCTGTCGAGCTGAAGAGGAAAGAGTTGCTGCCGACCAGACAAGGTTTAATTATATTTGTGGCAAAATTGGAGACATAGAGATCGAGAGAATGAAAGGATTGTGTTGTAAATAGCCAGTGAAGCCTGTAAATGCTAGAGCGAATTCTAGGGAATTTAGGGAAAAACTAGATTGACTTGAAAAACTCACTGCACACCAAAATTCGAGGGGAAAACTCGGCGAAACGAGTAGAATAAGTATAATAACGAGTAATAAGGATCTTCATTGATGACAAGCCTTTCAGTGAGTATCTTAAGTAAAATATTGTTCAAAAAAGGAATGTGCTTTCAATTTTTCGACGCTCACTCTTACGCAAAGAGTGATGTGCGCTTTGTGCTCTCTTAAACGCATACCATCTGGTGGACTGAAATACAATCTTGTTTCTGAAATGTATTCTTAATTGGTGTTAGAAATCTGAACCCTTTTTTCTTTCTCCTTTTCCTTTCCCCTTTTTCTTTCTTCTTTTTCTTTCCCCTTTTACACCGGCTTATCACTGCTCCCTAAAATGTCCCCTTCCAAACATTTGACTCATCCGATTTTCATTGTCTAATTTGTACAGATTCCATCAATTCCATCAATTTTGCAAAATCTTTCTTTATTCTGGATAGCACGCTTTCTCTTAGCATAATAAATTGTCGAAAATATGGATTACGAAGAGCACAAGGTGTTCGGTATGAGCGTCGGGGTACGGTAATTTGGTCATATTTTAAAAAAGATCAAATTTAGACTGTTTCTCGAATCCTATTGATTGTTGAGTGTTTTCTATCGATTGCTCTAATTGGGATTACTGTGATGACGCTTTCGGCTGGCTACAATTGGTGTGAGTTGAACTTTGAGCAATCTGCGGCAATCTGCTGCAATCTGGAGCACAGGGTGAACTTTAAAGCTTTGAAATTCAAAATTTCAGTGCCATTTTTGATGAATTCTCTCTTCTCTTCATTAAGCGTCTTCTCGATTTTCTCAATGTTTATCGGATTTCGTCGATCTCTTCCCATTTATTTTCTTCCGATTCTCACTTTTGAGGTATTTGGAAAAGAAGATGTTGTTCTTGTGCTGTTGTTATTGTGCTGTTGTTATTGTGCTATTGTTCTTGTGCTGTTGTTCTTGTGCTGTTGTTCTTGTACTGTTGTTCTTCTGCTGTTGTTCTTGTGCTGTTGTTCTTATACTGTTGTTCTTCTGCTGTTGTCCTTGTTCTTGTTGTTCTTGTGCTGTTGTTCTTGTGCTGTTGTTCTTGTCCTGTTGTTCTTGTACTGTTGTTCTTGTGCTGTTGTTCTTGTCCTGTTGTTCTTGTGCTGTTGTTCTTTTGGAAAAGCTACCTTCAACCTTTCGAGTTTATTCGTCAATTAGTTATTAGTTTAGACAGTTTCCACTGGTTGGGTGCTTCTTTGGGTCTACGCCAGCTATACGTCGGGTATTGATGGGAATTTGTGGCCGGTGGAATGGTGAGTTGGGTCAGATTTCTGAGAGAAAAAAAAGTTTAGGCTTGGTGGCCCACAATCCGACCGAGAACCCGCGCCAAGAGATGTCCGCGATCCAGGATACTACGATCGAAGTCAGACGAATCCCGAGACACAGAGAGGTTTGGGAGGTTATAAAGAAAAGCCAATGTGGGGTAAATAAAGCGGGCTTCAAGTTTCGAGCTCGTTTCAAGAGAAAGCAAGTGTTTCCAGCGATCAGTCTCAGTTCAACGCTTCTCGGTGTGTGCATGATGTTATTCTTTGTGAAAATCGTTTTGTGGATTTTCGCTAAAAATTGCTTCGTTTTCTATCAAGAAGAAGCGGTGAGAAGAGATCAAAAAATGAGGGATTTCGATCCGATGTTGAGTGAAAGATCGATTGAAGAGGTGAAGGCCAAAAAAAGGATTTGATCGGCCAAAAAAAAAGAAAGATAGAGCTTTGATGGCTTTAACAATTTAACAATTGGGGTAGGCTAATTTCCGCATTTTTTTTGCGCAAAGGATCATTTGGGCAACTGGGTCGTTTGCGCAACTCGCCATAACTTTCTTCTAAGCGGGCCAATCTTTATGATTTTGGTGTCATTTTGTAGATCTGAATAAGTGCAACAAAATGACACTAAAATCATAAAGATTGGCTGACTTAGAAGAAAGTTATGGCGAGTTGCGCAAACGACCCTGTTGCGCAAAAAAATTGCGGAAATTAGCCTGCCCCAACAATTGTTCTTTCTCATTTTAAGGCTAGATGTACTATTGGTTTATGCTATTATTGCTATATGGCATTCAAAGTTCATTCAAAGTTCATTCAAAGTTCATTAAAAGCTCAACTTCAAAAAGTTTTTCCAGGAGGATGAACCCTACACAGTGATTTATCGTAAAAACGAGTCACCCACTCGGGTGTCAAGACAGAAATCGAATGCGCAAATCATTGGCTCGCACACATCGCTTCATTCACCGAATTTGACCGCATCTCCCACATCACAATCAGACAATTATCGAACTTCACAATATTTTGAGTCACAGATATAGAGTCACAGAATAACATTCCTACATTTTTGCTTTTTTTTGACCTCTATTTTCGGATTGTTTGTGTGTAAAAAGATAAACATTGGCACTTTTTTCATAAAAAAAACTCTCAACAATATGAGTCGTTTAGTGGTCAAGCGCGTTTTCCCGTTGGAAGTTTTCCCGTCGATTGAAAGCTTTTGAATCTAACAATGAAATTCTCGCTATCTGGCACTCACACAATGTTTTCTTCAATTCATAACAAGCGATTTCCCCTCATACCTAGTCGGCCACTTAACCGCCACCAACACTTAACCCCTCTATCGCCTACGTTCCCCACCAAATTCCGTCGGGCTTTCCCCATTTGAATTGTCTTATGATGCTCAGGCATTCCCAACTCTTCTCCAATCGAGGAACCGTGCCCAAATGACATTTTGCCAACTTTTCGACCCCAATATTTTATATTCCGCGAAAATTTTCGACTATTCTTTTTTAAGTGCAAATTTCGAGGCAATTCGTGCGAGAATTGATGCACACTCGGGGTTTTTTTTGCTAGAAAAATTGTCTTATTCGAGATGTTGACGTTTTTTTGCAACTTTTGCTTAACATTGGCTGAGTTTTCGATGTGTCAACAAGGCCAAAAAAAATTGTTTGTAGAAGGCGCCAAACTTTGATTAAATTTCAAGAATTGATTGAGAAAAGAAATCCGGAATTCGTTGGAAAATTTTCGAAATTTGAAACACAAAAATCGATTGCAAATTTTCGAGTATTCAATTGACCTTTAAATATTTCAAAATGGAATTTAAAGGAAGATAGCTTATTTAAATAACTGATCGTATATATCTTATCGCTCTATTATTGCGAATTTTTATTGTTTAAAGGCTTTTCTTGAAGAATTATCGATTTTTGAGAGGGTTTTTCTTGAGCTTCAGTCGATTTTTCTTCTTTTTTTGCTTCAGTTTTGCATTGTTTTCTATCAAATTTATCTCAACTAATTTTTTCTATTTCCAGGTATCAAATGACTTCGATCGTCGCTGGTCTCAAGCTCAATCCAGCAATTGCGAAAATGGCGCCAAACGGGCAAATCTCGTGCCTCATCTGCTCGCAACAAGTGAAACCGAAAGTTTGGACGGCACATGTCAACGGGAAAAAGCACAGGGACAATGTGGAACGATTGAAGAAACAAGTAAGGAATTTTTGGGTGCTAGGGATTAATAAAAAATGCAAGTGTTGGGTTAAAACCCTCTAGGTAATAAACCAAAGCTATAAACCCGATATTCTGTCACTTATTGCAAATTTTAGGTGTCCGAATCAGCGTTGGGACACAAACGAGCCGAACAAAGTGATGATGGGCCACAAGAGAAACGACAGAAAATCGATCCCATTCAATCCGTCCAATCAACTTCAAATGGTGGCCTACCCGATGACTTTTTCGCCTCTTCCGGCGCCATTCAAACAAGCCAGCCCTGGCAGAAACGCGAGGAAAAAACGGACAAACCAAAGGCTGGAGTGATCGAGAATATCCCGCAAGGGTTCTTCGATGATAAAAGAGATGAATGGACAGAGGATGCTATCAAGAAAAAAGAGAAAATGGATCAAGAATACGATAAATTTATGAGGGAAATCAATACACAAAATTTGGATGAACTGAAGAAACAAGAAGAGGAAGAGCAAAGAGAATTCCTAGAGAGAGATTTCGAATCGGTTGACGAGCAGTTGAAGATATGGGAACAAGCACACGAATTGGAGTTGATGATCGAAGAAAAAGCGGCAAAAGCTGTGGAGAATCGAGTGCAACAAATGGAAAGCGATGAGGAAGATGACGAGGATATGGTGTTGGATTTAAACAATTGGAGAGCAAAAGCGTTTAGCTGAGAGGTTTATTTAGGAATGTTTACAGTTACAGTCAAACAAGGCTTAAGTTTTTCTGTTTTTATGCTTTACATGATAAATTTATCAAAGTTTGACCGTAATTAAGTAGGTAAACATTTAATTCACGATTTTACCACTGCCGGTTATCGATTTTGTTGTTTGGTTTTCGCTTATTTGTGATACTCAAGTTATATACGTGTATTCTCGATTTTTCCAAATTTGGATAAAGTTTGCGCAATTTTCAGGATCTTTTTCCGTTTGGCCCCAATCACGTCCAGCCGTCAATCGTGGAGCAACTAGAGGTAATAAGAGTTAGACAAAATAACACGCATAAGCTTTTCTTTAAGCTTTAGCTCTTAGCTCTGATCTAAACTATATAATTAATGTTTTTTTTGTTTCTAGGTGGATGTGGGAGGCGGTTTGGGTGGCGGCCTTGGGGGTGGAGGTACCCCGCTCTCCTCCACCGGCTCAATCATGCCTCCACCGCCCACCGATTGGCAACATACCGCACAATACTCTCCAAATGCGGTAAGTTTGCGCTAATTATGAAACACTAGCATTCTGGGCTAAATATGAGCTATCAAAGTTGAACATAAATGTTTAAAAAGCTTAAAGCATGATGTTTTTAAATTTAGGACGAATTCCATCCCTTCGTCGAGGCTCTTCTTCCCTATGTGAAAGAGTTCAGCTATGTGTGGTTCAATCTTCAAGCCGCCAAAAGGAAATACTTCAAGAGAAACGACCAAAAGAGGATGACGATGGAAGAGGAGAAAATTGTCAAAGAAGAACTCATGGTGGGTTTAAAGTTGAGAAGTTTGCTATTGAATCAAATGAGTAGCATTAATTGGTATGTTTTTAGGCTGAACGCCCGGATATCAAACAAAAATGGGCGGGTCGATTGTTGGGGAAACTCAGAAAAGACATCCAGCCACAATATCGAGATGATTTCGTCAGCTCGGTGGGTTTTAGAAATAGTTTAATTAGAATCTGTAATATTTGATTCAACATCTTGACATTTCCTTTTTAGGTAACAGGGCGTCGACCAGCCGTTTGTGTGCTTTCAAATCCCGATCAGAAAGGCAAAATGCGGAGAATCGATTGCTTACGACAAGCCGATAAAGTCTGGCGGCTCGACTTGGTGATGGTCATTTTATTCAAGGTGTGTTTTAAACTAAAAAAGTTTGTTCATGAATCTGATTATTAAACTGTGTTTACAGGCAGAATCTACATCTAATTTTTGTCTATGATAATACTTATGTCTGTAGATAGCTCTTTTAAAAGTGTTTTGTTCAGGGAATCCCTCTCGAATCGACGGACGGTGAGCGATTGGAGAAATGCAGTGAATGTCACTATCCACAGGTGAGCGAATTGGCTATTTCGACTTGCTAATATTTTCTTTTTAGTTGTGCATCAACCCGTATCACATATCGATTGCCGTTCGCGAGTTAGACCTATTCTTAGCAAATTTCATCCACACTCAAAATCCAATTGTCTTGACAGAGCCCGACAAAGCAACTGATGGTGAAATTTTTTGGCATTTACTGAGATGAAAGTTGTGTATATCAAATTAGCACTTGACTGATTGAATTTGACTGTTAAGCAATGAATAATGTATGAAAGTTTATCAAAGTTTAAGCTTTAAAGCTTAAAAGGTATTATATTGATAGGATTTAAAAAGAATTTTCTTTGAAAGAATTCTTTTTAAAAGTTATTGCCTGTAATATGATAAAGCAAATTGTCAATGACCAATTGATCAATTTCAGAAGATCCACTCAGTCAAGACGAGGGAATATGGAGCACTGGCGTTTTCTCCGCATATGAGCTGAAGACATTAACAAAACGTAAGTTTTTGTTTTTTATTCAAACCCTTTCAATCAATATTTTAGCCACAATGATGACAACATCGTCAAATGGAGGGATCATCACGATTCAGGTGCCCTCATTGAGGATGCCGAAAAACGAATGGGACATATCGGGTGTGTTTGGGCATAAATTGAATGTTAATAGTTGCTTGGAAGCAAGTGCATCGTATGAATGCCATTTAAATCACTAAAATTTTAAAATTCAGGTGCTTCAACACCGAGAACAAACGACAGTCCACCCAGTCCACCGCCGTCAGCTGTTGCCGCTGTGAAAGCATTAAGTAAGAGCATAATGTTTACCATATCATTAAGTAATGAGATCTGAAATGTTACCAGTTTCAATTGTAAAGAAATATTGGCGTTATCGAATAACATTTTTCTTTTCAGGCCATGACATGACGCCGTGCACCTCGAAGGGAAACAGTGAAATGGTTGATGTGGTGGGTAAAAGGGCTTTATTATGCAAGCCTAATAAAAATAACTGGCTCGTTCATTAGCAAAGTTTTCGATTAAGCTAAATTTATAAGGTTTATAGGGTCAACAAACTTTCTTAAAATTTAATATCATTCTCTACTTACAGCTTTTTTAGTTGAGTGACGAGCCGTGCGAGAAACGAATGCGTCATGCATCACGGGAATCGGTCGGAAGTGTCAATGAAGAGGTTGGGTGATTGTCAGAGCTGTAGATAAATGTCTTCATTTAGGTACGACGAATTGTGCAACAGGGCGGTGGGCCCGGCTGGATCGAGCCCTCCACACATGAGAAAGGTGAATATTCTAAGTGTTTTGTCTAATGCTTACGGGGTATATAGTACTATGCTGGAGCCTATTGTGATTAAACAAATATCTTTTCTAGGACTTCTACAACAACACGGTCTTGCCGATTCCCCGATGAAAGCCGACGACAAAGGGAAACGATATGCGGCACAAAAGATGACAACGAGAAATTCGTAAGTTTTTTTTTGCAACAAATCAAAGCAGAAAATTTTGTGTGGTCTATTGAAAATATTGCGGCTATTTGATGTTGATATTTTTTTTATAGGAGTGCTTTCTCGGCGACACCGGTGAGAAGAGATGGAAGAGGAGAAACAAATGTGGGTGAAGGGATGCAACAACAGACACAAGGAGGAAATACAAGTGGAAATGGAGGAACACAATCACAACCGGTGTCAAGGGTGAGTTTGCGAGTGGTGGAAAAGATAACATAAGCCTTAGAACTTCAGTTTAACAAAGGCCCAGATGAATTCTTAAATCTAAACTAACTGTTAAAACGTTTGATACCTTTTCATTCAGGTTCTCGTCGTGGATCAATCGACCGGCCGAACTCGTCCAACGTCTTACGTGCGAATCACGAATGCCACTACTTCACAGGGAACACAGCGTAAGTTTTGCCGCGTTTTATCCGCAATTCAGCTGACACAAACAGAACACTTTAAATCTAATTTCTAACTATGCAACTTGTGTGTCTTGCCATTTCTCTATTTATCTTTGTCGTTTTGTGCAGCTGTGAATCAGCTTCGAGCCGTGCAACAACAACAGCAGACGGTACGATATGTGGTGAAACGGAATGATGGAACGTATCAAAGAATCGACCCAATTCCGCCGACAAATCATGGAGGTGTAAGGATTACACGAGCTGTGCCACAAACACGACAAATGCATCAACCGATGTATCAAGAGGTTGTTGAAGATGTCGATTATGAACTGATGCACTAGAAACATAGAGAAGTCTCAAGGTATTCTTTTTGCTTACAACCCTAGCAGGGATTCTTAAGTATAAGCATTCTTAAGTATAAGCATACTTATCAGCTCATTTTCGACATCGTTTCTCTCTCAAAAGAATCTAACTTGTGTGTACGTATATTTTGTAATATTTTATCGCATAGTTAATATGTATGGTTACCCCTTAGCTTTTTGCCGAGATCTCTTTTGTCTCAAGTCTTTATTTTAATATGTTTCTTTGTGTGTTAACGTTAATCAGGAATAAAAATGTTGAGGGTTCTTCTTGTTAAAGCCTTTTGAAAACTTAAAATTGCCAAATAAATCTTTTTGCGAAAGTGTCATTGAACTACCGATGGTAAGAGCAAGCGAATGCTCCAAAAACCGAACCATTCCTCGAAAATGCACCCAAATTTTGAGTAGATACAGAGAAAACACAAAAATTCGGATGAGTTGGATGTTGTGAAACGAGATTTTGTCGATGATGAATGGTATTTTCAGCCGTTCCTGCTGTTCCCACCGTTCCCACCCCGCCAACAACTGGTCCGACACTGCAATCCGTTTTACAAGGACAACTACGCGATCAGCCGATCACACAGGTGTTTAGATAATGGAATTATACACAAACAAGTTATACTAAGGTGTTTGGAGGTTTAGAAAGACTAAGAGAAGCATCTAGCATCGTTGAAACGGAAAATGGATGTTGGACGGTGTTACCATTTTCTGTAAATTAGTTGGTTTCTATTAGAGAAACGGTTAAATTTGACAGTTAACCAGTTATTCTTTAGGGTTTGAATCGTTTCTTAAAAATTTAGAATGTTAAAAAATCGAGTTTTAAGGCTAGTATCGATTTTTGGAAAGCATTACTCACGTCGCTGACCTTTTGTTTTTTGTTATCCCGAATTGACTTCTTAGTTATAGAATTTTATATTGCCAAGCGCAATAATGATTAAAAAAACATTGTGAAAAGCTTTATAAATATCTAAAGGTTAGTTCAAAGGTTTTTCTAGGGTCATGCACCGTTGGTTTCGAGTCGAAAGCGGATTCACACGACGAACACGACGGGCGCATTCAATCCGAATCAGATCCGGGAAGCGACGGTTGGTTTGAGGGGAAAATAGAGAAAAAAATATGCAAAAAGACGATAAAAGAGATAATCAAGATAATACTGACTAATTTGCACATTATATTAACTTTTATTTTGAGATAAATAACTTTGGCAAATGACTCGATCTTTTTTACGAACTTTCTTTGAAAAAAAGCGGGGCTCGACTCATTTAATAATCGAAAATTTCAGGTGGAAAGCCTCATGCAATTGTCGAGATCGAATCAACAAGCGGCTGCAGCTCAACAGCAGTCAGCCACAGCAATTCCACCGACAACCGTGGCCAGTACACCATCCGGGCCTGTACCCATCCCGGCGACAACAACCGCCTCACCAACAACACCGATCAATACGAGTCCGGGTGAGTTGAGAAAATTGATCCGAAATAGGAAACCAATTTCTAGTAGATTTTGGAAACATTGTGTATGTAGTAGTGGATATATGCAATTTTTTTTTGACACTGGGGTAACTGTTGTTGAATTCCTAGAAAGCATTGCTGAAAATACTCTCAAATCTATTGCTGAATATTTGAAAATCCAAACAAAATGTGTTATATGCTATTTTTTTTCAGAAGTCGCTTCATTGGCCGCTCATTTTCTACGTCGAAGCGACAGTGCGAATCCGTATCACGCAAGTCCGACGAAATTCACGAATGCAAATGGGGAGATGGTTTCGTTTACGTGAGTTTGCGAAAGAGTAAAAATAAATTGAAAATCGAAATAGTGCTTTCGGATTATTGGTTTGCAATTGGGTGAATGCGTTTAGGAAAATCTCTACGATTCGGGAGTGGAGTTTGGATTTTTATGCTAAAGATAGAGATGCTAAAGATCTAAAAAGAACCGTATTGGAACCGTATTGGACCTAAAAAGAACCGTATTGGAACCGTGTTGGAACAGTATTGGATCTAAAAAGAACCGTATTGGAACAGTATTGGAACCGTATTGGATCTAAAAAGAACCGTATTGCCGTATTGGAACAGTATTGGAACAGTATTGGATCTAAAAAGAACCGTATTGGAACCGTATTGGATCTAAAAAGAACCGTATTGGAACAGTATTGGATCTAAAAAGAGCCGTATTGGATTTAAAAAGAACCGCATTTGAACCGTATTGGGAAATATTGAGAAGTGCAAAATATCATTTTCTTATGTTTATTCTTTTTTTAAATCTTATTTTAGTGAAATTATGCGCAACGTTGAGGCTCAATACACCCGATCGGGGACATCAACAGCGCAAAGTGAGTAGAGACTTCAAAAGAATCGATATTTTTCGAAATCTATTCAAATTTAATCTACTTTTTAATCTACAAATTTAAATATTCTATTGAATTTTAAGATCAAAATCTAAATAAGATTTTGCAAAGTTTAGCAAAGTGCAAAAATTTCTAGGCCCAATCACGCAAAGCCCGATCGCTGTCACTCAACCAGTCCGCGACTTCTTGACAAGACCTGATAATTCAGCTGTAAGTTTAAAGAGTTTACAGAAAAAAAAACCCCCCTACAAATTAGATATTAGAGTATAGATTATAAAATTTTACAGAAACTCGTCACCCCTCGACCGATCAACCCGACAATGCCCATTCAAACGGCTGCTCTGGCTTTTGGAACAGCTGCCGCTGCTGCTGCTGCAGCTGCACATGTACAAGTGGGTTTAGATTAGAAATAAGAAATATCTATTTATGATTTTAGTTACAAGTCTTTAGTGGCAAGTCGCCTCGGTACCCACTGTTTTCTCGGCGGCTGGCAGCGCCTCATCGAGCCCATTGACAACCGCCGAACAGACTCGACAAACACTCACGAATATTCTCATTCAGAATCAAATCTTGGAGAATGCGGTGAGTGATTCTTTTGATAGTTTTGATATTTACAAAATTTTAGCTTCGATCAGCTTGTAGCTCGGCCGTGAATTCTCCATTGGCTACACCTCGCTGCACGCCGATTCCCTCGGTTTTCGCGGCGATTCGTGCGGCTGGTAAGGGAAAACTTGCAAATCGGAAGTTAAGAATGAAATATTTTAGCTTTTGAAGTAAAGATTTCTCTAGGGGATTAGCTGGAGTAGAGGGTTATATGCTGATTTGCTTTCTTTTTGCTGATTCTCTTTTCTTTTCTTTGACTAGTCTTTTAAAAGTGTTAGAATCAGTTTCAAACTTTCAATTAAGCTAATGTGTACTCCAGAACATTTAGATATCTAATCAATTATTGGAAAAAGTTGTCATTTATAGGCGGTGTGGACGAGGACTCGAACGGCGCGCCGCCGCTCCTCTCGCTGCAGAATAACGGCAATGGAAACAGTCAGGATGCGTATTTGAGAGATGGTAAGTCACTGGAAACGACTAAAAACGACTAAAACGGTTTAAAATCATATCTAGCAGTGTTTATTGAGATTAGCTAATCATATCTAGCAGTGTTTATTGGGACTAACTAATCTGTCAGACCATTTGAGTTCGTACTTCGTTTGACGTCTTTTAGATGTGGTAATGCATCTAATTTTAGTCTCGAGTCACTTTCTGACTTATCTGAACGATTCGAATTCCCGTTCTCCTTCATCATCGCTGACGAATTCGCTGAATGCTCTCTTGCCGACCAGTCAATTGTTGACGACAGCTTTAGGAGCGACTAACAAGTTTGTTACTGTAGTTGCTATAAAACTATTCAACAATAAAGCGTTACCCTAATTCGAATTGTTGATTAAAATTCTCACTTTCTAGCGGTCTCTCCTCTCTATCCACTCTCCATCATACTCTCTCCGTTCCACAAATGAATGCCCTCACCGTCACGCAAACCCCGACGAGTCCAATCGTTATCGATTCCGCTACAATTGATATCTTGGTGAGTTATGGAAATTGCTTGAGTATAACGATCGCTTCATAACGATCGCTTCATAACGATCGCTTCATAACGATCGCTTCATAACGATCGCTTCATAACGATCGCTTCATAACGATCGCTTCATAACGATCGCTTCATAACGATCGCTTCATAACGATCGCTTCATAAGGATGTTTAAAATATTTTCAAGAATAAATATAAAACTATTTCTAGAGTAGAGATGTGCTAGTCGAACCGACGACAACCATTCGACATTCACCGCATCGATTGGCGAGGATTGCCGCCGGGAAAGGGACAAGCAGTGAAAGCCCATCGAATAGTAATGGTCGGTTACAGAAAAAGTTTAGAAAACGGTATTTTATCGGATCTGTGTTGTTCTACGTTATGCTGTCATGATTGAGTCTTCTACTTGTCGCTTTTTTTTATAGCGACGTGCTTTAAAGACAGCTCTAGCTGTGCAAGTGCTTTAAAGACACCTCTAGCTCCCATAATTTGGCCTAATAGCTCAGCTATAGAGAAAGTTGAAAAGAAATAGAATAGCTCAGCTCTGAGAAAACAATTTCAAACGAATTTCTTGCAGGCAGTCATTCCTCGACCACGACTTCATCGACTGATTTTGGTCACCTCGGGAAATAGTTTCTCTAAATTCTCTAAAACGTGTTCTAGTGATTTTCTTTATTTTATTGTTTCTTTAGTTATTACATTTGTTATTTCTTTTTCTTTTCTTTTCTTTCCCTTTCTTTTCTTTCCCTTTCTATTCTCAGTTCAAGCGATCCAGCATCGATCTGAAAGAGCTGAAACACGTGTAGAATCAGAATTCAATTCCGTTTTCATTTTCTCGATTTTGTTATTCTTTGTTTCACGTTATTTCTAGTCTATTCGCGAGGTGTTTTTTTATTTTTTTTTTTGAGAATTTTGTCAGGTTTCCTTTTTTTCCTTTCCCAATGGCTGCACGTTGCCTCTTCTACGCATTATAGCCTTTTCCCTAATTCATAAAACACTTCAAAATAACTCAGATCCGGAAAAATTCGTGTACGGTTTTAGTTTTTCTATTTTTCGATTTATACTTTTTTTTTGTCTTACAGATTTTACAATTTTTCATTTAAGTTCAAAGCTGAACATTTCTTTTTCTTTTCCTTTTTTTTCTCCGGGGTAATACGTCGAGATCTTGTTTTGTTTTTTTTTACGCCGAAAACGGTTATGCGCACACATTGTGCCTGATTCTTTGAGAAATTTGAGGAAACTCTTTTCCTTTTTGACAACTATGGAAGTCATGGTAGGGTTTTTGCGAAGAAAATCAGTAGAATTGATGCGATTGAACTATAAAGGAACTATAAAGGAACCAAATAGGAACTATAAAGGAACTATAAAGGAACTATTAAGGAACTATAAAGGAACTTTAAAGGAACTATTAAGGAACTTTAGAGGAACCAAATAGGAACTATAAAGGAACTATAAAGGAACTTTAAAGGAACTATTAAGGAACTTTAGAGGAACCAAATAGGAACCAAATAGGAACTATAAAGGAACTTTAAAGGAACCAAATAGGAATTATAAAGGAACTATAAAGGAACTATAAAGGAACTATAAAGGAACTATAAAGGAACTATAAAGGAACTATAAAGGAACTATTAAGGAACTATTAAGGAACTTTAAAGGAACTATAAAGGAACCAAATAGGAATTATAAAGGAACTATAAAGGAACTATAAAGGAACTATAAAGGAACTATAAAGGAACTATAAAGGAACTATTAAGGAACTTTAAAGGAACTATAAAGGAACCAAATAGGAATTATAAAGGAACTATAAAGGAAAATCAGTAGATTTATTTGGTGCTCAAGTGGATAGCAAGCCCTGGTAGCGCGAGGCGAGCGACGCTGGGCCGATCCCGGCGACCGTCTAGCTGTGACTCCCATTTTTGTCGCATTCCCCGTGATTCGTTGTTTTGTTTTTTTCTTTCTTAGAATTTCATGTAATTTATTTAATTCTCCCCATGAAAAGCACAAAAACAATAGCTCCTTCTTTAGTGATTCGATTTGATTACAGAAAAATCATTTTTATTTTTAAGTTTTTAAGTTTTTTCTTTTTTTTTTGGTTTAACAATATGGGTTTCATTAGGCTTTTCTCTAATATTTTTATTTCTTTATTCAATTTGTTGCAATTTTTGCTACCTGCGGGACGCTAGACTTACCTAAAAATCCTGCAAAATGATCCTGACAGAAATTTTTCTCTTTCCATTACGGTATACAGTTACACGTTTCAACCATAGTGTCTTTAGAGTTATTTTTATCATTTTTCAAAATCTAGCATCAAGCAAAGAGAAAAAGAGTTGCTCGCCCCTTGTTAAACGTTGTAGTCGCAATAAATATATAGTTTCTGCAAAAGAACACATCAAAAGTGCTAAAAACATGCAAATTTGACAAAATTTTATGACTAAAGAAGATCAGATAAAACAAGAACAAAACAAACCAAAAAACAAGATGAAAAAAAGGGGTAGGCTACTTTGCGCCAAATTTTTTGCGCAACTCGCCATAACTTTCTTCTAAGTGGGCCAATCTTTATGATTTTGGTGTCATTTTGTTGCACTTATTGAGATCTATTTTTTTTTACTGGGTCGTTTGCGACGTTTGCGTTTGCGTTGTTTTACTGGCGCAACTGGGTCGTTTGCGCAACTCGCCATAACTTTCTTCTAAGTGAACCAATCTTTATTATTTTAGTTTCATTTTGTAGATAAGTGCAACAAAGTGCAACAAAATGAAACTAAAATGAAACTCAATAAGTGCAACAAAATGAAACTAAAATAATAAAGATTGGCCCACTTAGAAGAAAGTTATGGCGAGTTGCGCAAACGACCCAGCTGCCCAAAAAATTTGGCGCAAAGTAGCCTACCCCAAAAAAACCATGTTTTATACGAGCAATCGCCATTTTCACATACTAAAATGCTCCTTGGACCGTAGCGCGCCAGTTTCCCGTCGAATGTTAGCTGAATATCTTTTTGCCATTAAAGCCTATAAAAGGCACGTAAACACCGATTTTCTCATTTTGTTTTCTCGCCGTCTCCCGATCTGTTTTTTACCCCGTAAATTTTCTAAACTTTCTAAGCTTTCCAGCCTTAAACTTTAGCCTTCGCTAATCATCGTATTGAATTGTACTTGTGGAGTTGTATATATAGATCTACCCATCTTGGCTTATATGGAGTATAAGGGGTTTTTCCAGAATGGAACTTTTTGCAGGTGCTCTGCGAAACCACATGGTGCGCCATTCTTACATCGTGTGATGCATAACTATGCTTTTTCTAAGGGTTAGAGGTGTTACTAAAACACTGGTTGAAATTTTCCCGAAAATGGCTGAGCGACACTTATTTTTGTTTTTCTAGCATCCTTGGGGTGGATCTTAGCCAAATAGGTCAAAAAAATTCCATTCTGGAAAAACTCCTTATACTCCTTATCCCCCCCCCATCTTTTGTGTTAGCTCAAGTAGATCCATGGCTTTAAACATTTTTCGTTTCAATAATATATTTAACGTTTTATAGGTAGCGTTTTCTGATGGCTGGTCAAAAACTCGAGTCGAAGACCGAGGCAAAGCCCAGGGCCGCAAAACCAAGACAAAACAATCAACCGTCCCCGTCAAAAGCCAAGTCAAAATTCGAGCCGAAGCCCACGTCCTCAAAACAAAACAATCAACCGTCCGCGTCGAAAGCCAAGTCAAAATTCGAGCCGAAGACTGAGGCAAAACCCGAGCCGAAGACCGAGGCAAAGCCCACGTCCGCCTTTCCGGGAAAACCGTTCGACAAGAACACCATGCCCAAGCCGTCTACGCAAAAGGCATCAGAGGACAGTACTATCGCTTCACCTGCACTTCCTGTGGTATCTTTTACGAATGTTTGAATAGTAACCTTTAAACTGCAGGATGGCATTCGTTTTCATGTGTTTACCAAATAGGCGTTAGTTGGATTTGGTGGCACCAGCCTATTTGGTAAACACATGAAAACGAATGCCACCCTGGAGTTTAACCTGTAAAAAATTCTCTTTAATTCATCTAGATTTAAGTCTAACACGAGTCTTATTAAAGCTAAAGAGTATGTCACATAGATTTATTGAATCAATCGTTTTTTAGGAGGACACGTCTCTTCACTTTGAAACGTTCGGAGTTACTTCTAAAGCGCCATCCGCTTTTGAAAAGGTAATGGTTTATCTCTTAAGCCTCTTAATCATTATTTTTTAAGACCGACCGAGGCTACCGGTCAGCTGGCTTTCGCAAGAAGAACAAAGACATCAGTGCGGGCCCCGCCTTGGTTGGATTCCATTTGGGGAAACGTGCTTCGTCTCCAAGCAAAATCGAGGGACCAAGTTGGCTGAGAAAGACAACGGAAAAAATGGTAAGCAGGTGTTTTTTATTGATTTGAATCTAAGGTATTATTTAGGCCAACTTCTTCAAAAGCCAAAATAGAAACTTGGAGCCTACCCACGCTTCAATTCCTGTTTGCAAGCTGACAAAGAACATCGTTAAAGAAGTTTGCACCGTGCAACGGGGTGAAACGTCAGGTCTTCAGAAGTCTGTCATCACAAATGTGCCAATATCACGTAAGGGTGTTAAATCTTTTGTTGAATAAAATTAAGCGGTCCAGGTCATTTGTGCAAATCGTGACGCATAATTAAATTTAGATGGTTTCCCTGGAATATCCTTTGTGACTGGTCAAGAAGCTGCTAACGATTGGAGTGAGCAATTCCCAAATGCTTTTCCACAACAAAAGGCTGATGAGAATATGGGCAACAATACTGATTTGCTCGATCGACCTCTTTCAAGGCGAGGTTCGTTTTATTGATTTGCTTCCTTAATTTTTATTGACAATTTAGAAGAGCAAATCTCAACAAACGAGCCAGTCGATGAGGTTGAACCCGATCCATGGCCAAAGAAATGTTTGTCTTTTTGAATTTAGCCGCTCATTTTTTTGTTTAGGTACTGCTGATGTTGGTGAAGTTGATGAGGTGCAAAGCCCAACCAAGATGTCCAGGGTAACTCCATCTCCTTCCTCACCTGTATTTTTTTGCGTCGGGGTAATTCGCGTTTGATTGTCAGGTGATGAATGTGTCTTTTAGGAGCTTCTAAAAGCCTTTGATGGACTGAAATTATAAGACTGAAAGGACCACCGGCTGCTGCCGCTGAAAAGCAATGAATCTCCACTCTTCTGTTAGCAAATGATTACCTCAACATACTCCACTACATGCAATTCAGTTATTATTTTATGTATTTATTTTGTTTCAGTGCTTTGCAATTTTATATTTTGTTTTACCAGTTTAACTGTCAACTGCTCATTTTACTGGCTGTATAAGAATTTTTGACTAAACGCATCTGCTTTAACCCAAAAATGGGAAAGGTTTAACGAATACTGGTTGAAAGTGAGTGAAGATGGAGGTGAAAGGAAAGACATACATGGTGTTTGAACCGAACAACTCTTGAGACTGATCGTTTTTATGTGTCGGCCCAGCTGCCAGACTTGTCTATTATAGACGCTTGTTATTTTGTTTAGAACTGGTCTTGGCTTTTAGAGTCACGACTGAAACTTTTGAAGCACGAACTAAAAGTTGATATGAAAGTTTAATTAAGGTAAATTGGGCGGTTTTGTGAATTTCTAACATGTTTCCTTGAACTGCGAGAGTGCATATCCAAAAGTACATGAACCTTTTTCCAGCAAAACTTCCATTGATCGCTTGGGGCACGCTGATGAGCTAGCTTTTAGGCGTTCAAGTTGGCCAAAAGCGAAGGTGAATCTTGATCTCTGAAAGTTGGCACAGCCGAGAGCAGCACGCGATCGGTCGTCATTTCATTTTATGAACAAAAATCGAGTAAATAGCTTAAAAGGAGTATAAAAAGATGTGAAATCCAGACGTGGGCATTATTTGTCTCCAAGAATGTTCATGGCATTCACCATTTTGGCTTGTGTGGGAGGTATATTTTCAATGTTTGAATTCAAGTCACGATCCGGATTTCCAGGCGTCGCCTCAACCCAATTCCCGGCTGATCAGATAAAAGCTATCGTGAATGTGCGCGAGTTTTGATCTAAATGAAACTGTATCACTGTCCCATTCAGACTCACAACAATTTCCGCTCTCAGCTGGCCAAGGGCACTTACAAATCGAGGGCGGGTGTCACTTTCGCCGCCGCCACAAATGTGCAAACGATGGTGGGGAAATGAGAATGAATTTGCGATTAGATCTTTAACATTTTATCAATATCAGGTCTGGAACAACACCCTTGCCAAGAGTGCGTCGACCTGTGCGGGCACTTCTCCCGGCTTGAAACACTCGGGAGCGGTTGGGGTTGACGAGAATTTGTGAAAAATTTAAAAAAAAAAGAAAAACTATGTAAATTAACAAGTGAAAGGGTTTATTCTTGGTGTCTGCGTTTAAAAATTATCGTCATAATTGAGGGGGATTTCTGTGAGGAAACAGGCGAATCTAGGATTTGATCAACGCTTTTCTGAAATGCGTTTAAAATGTTGCTTACAAATCTAAACCCAAACAATCAACTTTAGCTTTTTTGTTTCGTGAAAATCGTGAAGTAAAAGAATGTTTTCGTCTGTGATCGTCTGTGAATTCCATTGCTCACAACTTTCATCAAACTTTGCATCAAGCTGTTGACTTGTGAGTTGAAAAGGAATTTCTGAATTAAAGTTTACGATATCTTTCTCACTGAGAGTCTTTTTCAAAAGTTTATTTGTTTGTAAAAACGAATGAATTGATCTAAATTGAAGTAAATAATTCAAAATTTGGCTTATTTTAATGGATCAAAAAATGAGTAAAGATTTACTTTAAGTATTGCTATTTGGGATGCCGGAATTGCTATATAATCATTTGATATATAATATATATAATCATTTGATCTCTAAGCCAAAGCAGAAATCAAGCTATCGTTACCAAGATCAGCCTTCTTTTTCATGAAACTTGCAAGCCAGGTATGAGACCAGCCAGGCTCAGAAATGGTTTCTATTAGTTGTTAGAGAGAATAAGAGGTTAGAATACTGATAGGAATGACGGATCAAAATATTGAAGAATTCGGAGAATTTGATGAAAGAAGAAGAAAAAAAATGCTTTGAATAGATCCTTTATTCATTGGATATTGATTGTATGACTTTTATTTATCAATTTCGAAATCCTAAAACTCAAATAAAAACAAAAGGAAAATGATGAAAATGAATGTGCTTTCATTTTGGTAATTAAAATAATTTTTATCAATTAAAATCAATCAAAATCAATCAAAATCAATCAAAACCAATCAAAACCAATCAAAACCAATCAAAACCAATCAAAATCAATTAAAATCAATCAAAATCAATCAAAATCAATTAAAATCAATCAAAATCAATTAAAATCAATTAAAATCAATTAAAATCAATCAAAACCAATCAAAACCAATCAAAATCAATCAAAATCAATTAAAATCAATTAAAATCAATCAAAATCAATCAAAATCAATTAAAATCAATTAAAATCAATCAAAATCAATCAAAATCAATCAAAATCAATCAAAATGAATCAAAATCAATTAAAATCAATTAAAATCACTCATGCAATCATTTTTAAATCCACGAGTTTCAAATAAGAGTTCCGATTTATCTTTATTCAAGTGTTCAGTGGGGAAATTTTGCGGTTTATTCACTTTGAAATAATGCTGAAAATCAATTGTAATCAATCGTGGTTAGGTAAAGTTTATTTATTTATTTATTTATTGAATTTATTTATTGAATTTTATTATTGAATTTTATTTATTTGGATTGCGTGAGTCAGCTTTTATTTGAATTGAACAATTTCTTATCAGAATTGAGCAAATAAAAATGTTCATCTTTTCACTTTTCTTTTCATTTCATCTCACAATTATTATAGTTAATCGATTTTTCTTTTCCTTCAATTGCGAGGGTTTTTCTCTCTTTTCGGAAAGGTTCACTTCTTCGTTGAGAGAACAAATATTGAATTGAATCTCAACCAAAACCTCTCATCCCTCTCATCTCTCATCTCTTTCATCTCTCATCTCAACCAAAATCAACCAAAAACCATTTCTCTTTTATGTGAATATTCTATTGATTGAAGGTACGATTGGAGAAGATTTTAAGGCATTTTAAAGTAAACTTTATCTTAAGATACTTTTGTTTGCTAAACAAAGCTCAAAGCTTTAACTCAAAGCTTTAACTCAAAGCTTTAACTCAAAGCTTTAGCTCAAAGCTTTAGCTCAAGGCTTTAGCTCAAAGCTTTAGCTCTAAAGTCTTAGCCTCAATTTTTCAAAGCTAAGATCAAAGAGTTAGTGTTGGATAACCAAAAAAAGCTGATGAACGACATTCACAGCATCTTCTGTTATCGATTTTCGTTAATCTTTCTTCAATTAATGATCTCTGGCTTTATGATTGATCAAAGTTAAAAGGGAAATCGGTAAATACCATTTGACATGTCTTTCTCTTCCTCCTATTTCTCTTTCTCTTTCTCTTTCTCTTCCTCTTCCTCTTCCTCCTATCCCTCGTCTCCTTCTCATTGACCACAAAAGAAGACTGTTCAGATTCAGATTCCTCGATTCCTTTCTTCGTGCAGCAGCTGGGATAATATTCTGTTTTGGGAAAATCTCCATTCTCAATCATTTCTCTCTTTCTCTGGACTTTTGAATATGGGCTGCATTTATAGTCAAGAATATAAAGGTTTGTGAATTCGTGATTTCTTTTCTATCAAATGCTCTAACAATTTGCGTGATTTCCTATCGTAATCTGGTTTTTTTTTTCGATTTTGAACTAAGCAAGTTGACTTTTTGATTATCGTAATAGAATTGTGCAAATACAGAAAACTTTCCTAGGGCTCTATGCACCGAAAGACGAAGAGTACAATGAGGAAAGGCGAAATGCATATTTAGCGGCAAGAGGGATACGAATTCCGTGAGTTTACCATGATCATCTCCATTGTAAAAATTATTGAGAGAGATAAGAACCAAATTTAGAGAGATAAGGAAGCAAATTTAGAGAGATAAGGAACCAAATTTTGATCACAATCCAATTCAGCTCCATAGCTGAGAATTCGATTAACGAATTGATCAAGATCTTGGATTTTCTTTGGATACCATGGAACTGATTCTAAAAATATTCACTTACATTTATTACTTACGTTTACATTTAAATGAGATAAGGAGATAAGAGAGATAAGGAACCAAGTTTGTAGAGATAAGGAACCAATTTAGAGAGATAAGGAACCAAATTTAGAGAGATAAGGAACCAAATTTAGAGAGATAAGGAACCAAATTTAGAGAGATAAGGAACCAAATTTAGAGAGATAAGGAACCAGATTTAGAGAGATAAGGAACCAAATTCTATTCAATAAATTCAATAGACAAAGAACCCATAGAATTAATGGAATTTGGAATTATTGGAATTACTGAAATGACTGAAATGACTTTCAGCGATCGTCCCCTTCACGTGCATCAAGCGTCACTAATAAATAAAAATAAAGGATATGCGAAAACAGATTTCAAAGCTGGCATTGATCATAGAGATCAGAATTTCCCATGGGAATGGCATCATCTAGAGCATGTTCGCATTTCGGAGGTTGATGAAACGGTGAGCTTATTCAATTCAATTTATTAAGCAACTTTTCAGTCTCGCGGCTCGAAGGAAAGCCGTCGAAATGTGGGTATCCAATTGTGAATGAAACATATATTTCTAAAGAAGAAATCAACTTTAAATCTTACAAAAAAACACTCTTCATTTTTCTCAGTGCCTTATCAACTAAACATCTATGATTTTTATTCAGAATTTTTGGCTCTTATCGATTTTCGGGAATTTGAACAATGAGTCACACTTTGAAAGCCTATAACTTTTTCCAGGTACAATATTATTGCAAACTTTTTATATTATTTTATAGAGAATATTTCAAGCTTTCGAATGATACCAAATAGAGCTTTATTGGATAATTCAGTCCCATGCAAACCAGGTGGCAAGGTACCCGAGTTGGATTGACTTATTGGGTTGGGTTGGGTTTGATTTTTCTTTTCTGGATTTGTCTGGATAAAGTGGATAATTTTGGATAATTTGGATTCTGGATAAAGTGAGACTTGTCTCTAACTCAATGAGGGTTCAATACTCGATTAAATAAACCTTTTTGAAATGAGTAGCCACGCTTTGAAGAGGCATAATTTTGTTCCGGAGATGATAAGATTCTTAGATTCTTACGAAGTTTTAAAGAAAACAAATCAAGCTTTCGAATGATATAAAATGCGTTTCCCTAAACATAAACTGATCGGACAATCCAGAAAAGAAAAATCAAATCCAACTCTGAGCAAATAAGTCAATCCAACTCGGGTACCTTGCCACCTGGTTTGCATGGGACTGAATTATCCAATCAAGCTCTATTTGATATCATTCGAAAGCTTGAAATGTTCTCTATCCAATGAGATCAAAAGTTTGCAATAATATTGTACCTGGAAAAAGTTATAGGCTTTCAAAGTGTGAGGACTTATTCAAAATACTCGAATTTTCAATTTTTTTTTTTGATTTGAATCTGATTTGAACGATCTCATTGTCATGCCATTTCTTTCATATCAAATATATGTCTTTTCAAATGTAATTTACAAGTTTTACAAGTTTTACAAGTTTTACAAACTTTCAGACGCTTAAACTTTATCTATCAAGAGAATTTCTTGTTATCGAGAGATGCACATAAAAAGTTGTTGTTGTTTTTTTGATGGTTTTGTTGGAAAAACGTTTGAAATCTTTTCGATAACGTCTATTCAAAAAATTAAACAAACAATTCGTCATCGTCATTTTATCACTTTTTATTGCTTTATGAATCATAGAGAACTTTTAAAAGAGTGTAAAATCAAGGTTTGTTTGTTTGTTTTGAATTGTTTCGTTTTGTGATATTGTCTCAAATTCTGCCATTTTCTTTTGTTCTAAGCGATTATTTTGACTCGGAAATAAAGCTAGTTTCTGAAAAATGTGGAATTCAGAAAATTCAGGTATTTTTTTTTTACCCTTTTCTACTCTAACATTTTGATTCTAGTTTTATATTCTATAACCAAAAGAAATACCGTAAATACTGTAATAGTACCCCACCCCCATAATGACGGTGCGGAGTGTTGCGTAGTCGAGCTTTGAACGAGTTTTTCTCGACACTCGTTTATGCTACAATCCGCGTTTAGGTATCAAAAAATAGCTGAAATTCAGGGCTATTTTTTGATACCAAAGACGCATTTTTGCGCAACAGGGTTATTTGCGCAACTGGGTCGTTTGCGCAACAGGGTTATTTGCGCAACTCGCCATAACTTTCTTCTAAGTCGGCCAATCTTTATGCTTTTGGTTTCATTTTGTTGCACTTATTGAGATCTACAAACTGAAACCAAAAGCATAAAGATTGACCGACTTAGAAGAAAGTTATGGCGAGTTGCGCAAACGACCCAGTTGCGCAAATGACTCTGTTGCGCAAAAAAAATTGCGGAAACTAGCCTACCCCAAAAAATGTTAACAAAAGTCTTTACCCCTTTTGAAATTTCGATTTTCTTTCTGTTCTTTCATCATTTTTTACATAACAATGTTTTTTATTCATTTTTTTAATTTTAATGATGCCTGAAGCCTATCTGGTCACTTCTGACAAAGAAAAGATTGTGGAAACGAGGAAAAAAAAGGCGACAAAGGAAAGGATGCTCAGAGCTTATTCAAATGCAGCCCCGAGACGGTGAAAAAGCTTTGCGAGAAAGGAAAAACGAAATGAAAGTCTTCATCGAGCATTCGTTCACGTCGTTCACGTCACAACAACAAGCGAAGCAACAAATTAGAGCCATGTGGCTCTAATTTTGGCTCACAAAAAAGATCCAAATCTTAATGCTTTCGATGGAGTCCGGTTGATGAAGCAGCAATTTAACAAGGATATCAATCGAAAGACAGTGAGCACACGTTTGATTCATGCAAGACTGATAACGAGACAGGCTGCCAAGAAGAAGCTCTTGATGATCGCCAAACACGACTCGAAGATCCGTCTCGACTTCGCCAAGAAGTATGAAAGTTAGACGAGCAACGACTGGGTCAATGTCATCATCACCGATGAATCGAAGAACAACCTTTTCCATCTTGATGGCAATAATTTGATCTGTCGAACAACGATAACGGCAATCGTTTGATCTGTCGAACAACGATATAACACGAAATACCTTCGTCCGAAAGTCAAATTTGGTGGCGGATCAATCATGTTGTGGAGTAAGAAGCTTCGATTTTGCATACTGATTTGCTTTTTTTGGAAGCGTTTATCAGAAGTTCACCAGGTCCACTCGTTCTTCTCAATTCAATCTACAAGGCAATTTTGGAGAACGATCACAAACATTAGACAAGAAGAATGGCTGCTCTTCTCAATTCAATCTACAAGGCAATTTTAGAGAACGATCTTCTTTCATTTGCGATCACAAACATTAGACAAGAAGAATGGCTGCTGTACCAGGAAAACGCTCCATGCCACAAGTCGCAACTGTTAATTTTTTTCTTCTCACTTTTTCTTTTCTAGGGGTCTTTTCTAAGTCTTCACTTTTGATTCATGACTGTATAACTTTTAATTAATTGGGTAAATTTAGTTTTCAACTTGTTGATGCACGAAGAAATGCCGATTCTCTCGCGATCTCCACTCAACGATCGTTACTTGAAGAGTCTTTCAAATGAATATCGTTTTGTGTGCTTGGAAACGAATATCCCAAAAATGGAATCGATAAAGAAGAGTGAATTTATTTATTTAAACGATCACATTTCCCCGTGTGAACTCTCAAAATTATACGAGAATTCGGAAATTTGTGCAACGATGATGTGAAAAATAAAGAATTTATTGAAATGAGTTTTTTTTAAAAAGAGTTTTTTCATTTTTGCTCTTTGATCTATAATTGAGTTTCTTCTTAGCTAACACCTAAAACAAATTAGACATTTCTTTAGCCAAATTTGATGCAGATTCTTTTAGATGAGTCCCCAGAACAAATTAGACTTTTCTCTAGCCAAATTTGATAAGGGTTTCTTTTAGGTGAGTCCCCAAAACAAATTGTATCTTTAGCGAGATTTAATAAGGTTTCTTTTAGGTGAGTCCCCAAAACAAATTAGACTTTTCTCTAGCCAAATTTGATAAGGATTCTAATGAAATCAACCATAAGTTGATTGCTGTACTGTTGAACCGATGCTTGTACGTGGAAATTTAAAGTAAAGGGCAATCATTCGTCATATTTGTTCAGTCTCTTAACAAAAAATGACATCGTTTTGCCTTTTGCTTTATAAATAAACTTTTTCTTAGCAAGCAAACAAGCAAAAAAAAAATGGAACTTTTTTTTTGATTTTATCTTTCTTCAATCTCTTCAAATGGTGTTTCATTTCGATAATCTCTGTACGTTTCATCGGGCAATTCTTCAACTTCCACAAAGAACGCACCAGAGAATTGAGCAGATAGTGAACGGATGGGTTTCTGAAAAAAGAAAAGAAATATTTTGTTTTGTTTTGTTTTATTTTGTTTTGCTAGTTGAGAAAGCTCAAGGTTTGATTGGTTTTAAAACTTTAAAAGGGTTTTTTACCGTGATTCTTTACAATTCTATGCCTAGTACGGATTAGTGGTTGTTCATAAATTCAGACTAGATTTGAGTAGCCTAAATCTTAACTACCGTATTTTCTCTAATAGTAGTGCACTCCGGTGAGCCGAGTTGATCACTATTTTACAGTTTCCAAGTTTTCCGAGAAGCTCAACACTCAAATCCCCCACTAGATCTCATCGTCAGCTACATTTTCCGACCTCACATCGATAGGTTCTGATAAGCGGTTCTCGAGATTTCGAGGAATTTAAGCAAAGCTTAGGGTGCACTACTATTGGCAATCATGGCAATCATTTGATTGGAAAAGTCTAAAGTTTGTCTGTTTTTTGGGAAAAAGGTCACCGTATTTTTCATAGTCGAGCCGAGTTAATGCCTATTTTACAGTTTCCAAGTTTTCCCAGAGTTTTCCCAGAAAAATAGAAGATGCCACTATGGAATCAGAAGCACTCCATTTGCCTCAATGTTTAGTAAAGACTACGATGATGAACAGGAAATAAGGTAAGTTTTTAATTACCGTATTTTCTCTAATAGTAGTGCACCCCGTCGAGCCGAGTTAATGCCTATTTTACAGTTTCCAAGTTTTCCCAGAAGCTCAACACTCAAATCTCCCACTAGATCTCATCGTTAGCTACATTTTCCGACCTCACATCGATAGGTTCTGATAAGCGGTTCTCGAGATTTCGAGGAATTTAGGCAAGGCTCAGCGTGCTACTATTAGAGAAAATTCGGTAACATTCACGGAAAATTGATCCGAATTCCTGAATGACAAGAATTTTTCGAGAGTTGCTCAATATTTGACTGTATTTTGTTAGTTATATTAAGCTTATTAACAAATATATTATATTAATAGGAAGTATATATTATTAGGTTGATGCATAAGTGTTTTTGTTCCTTTTCGTCTGCCGTTTCAAGCCAACAAATGCACCAATTAAACTACGGTTGATTTCATTAGAAAAATCAATTATTTTTCTGCAAAATAACATTAAAACGGGTTTAAAAATATTTAATGCCTGGATTTTCTTGAGAGTATGAAGTCGGGTAGTCAAAAAGGGCTAACTCGATGACACCTTAGCCTTAGGTTTAGACACCTTAGCTAAAGCTAGCTACAAATTAATCTTTCAATTTTTATGTTTATTGTCGAATTTTCGCATTTTTTCTTCTATATAACTTTGTTTTAGAGCTTTATACGAGCAACGAAAGAGATCAATGCTATAACTTTTTTTCCATTCAACCAATTTTGTTCAGATTTTGTATTTTGTTTAGTTGGAATGCACACACAAAAAATTGTGAGAATTGGGAGATTTTGATTTACTTGCAGCCGATTTTGCATTAGTGCTGCCCCGCTTGCCTCACCCCCTACCGCTCATCCCCCTCCCAATCGATGATGCGGTTTAGACACCTTAGCTAAAGAAAACCTATCTTCGTGTCAATAGATAAAAGATAGAGAAAACAAAACGTTTGATATTTCGCCAAAATTTCAGAGAAATTCATTCAGCCAATTTTTCCGTAGAGTTTTTTAGAGATTTTTACGAAAAAGGCGTTTTTCACTCTCGAATTTGCTTGAAAGTGAACCGAAATTCATTTAAAAAGATGCAAATTGAACAAAAAAACACTTTTTTTTATAGAGCAAACTATAGATTAATTGGTGAATTTGTTACTTTTTAACAGAAGTACGAAAAAAACGAAAAGACTTTTGCATCAACCTATTATATTAATATAAAGTATATATTAATGTAAGGATTTTAACAAGTTTAACAAGTTATTTTGTGTTTCGACGAGTCGATTTGGCTTAACAATTTGAACTCTAGGGTTTTCAAGGATCAGGAAAACGAATTCATTTTTAGATCTGCCAAAACTTTCTCTATTTTTCGATATTTTATTTGGTTTTGGCTTTCTTTCTTTCTTTCTTCCTTCCTTCTTTCTTTCTTTCTTCCTTCCTTCTTTCTTTCTTTCCTTCCTTCCTTCTTTCTTTCTTTCTTTTCTACCTTATTCCCCTCTTCAATAGCCCTTTCTGCTTTAGCGAAATCCCAAAAGTCAAAGCATGCCGCAAATCCGAAACAAGTGAGCTGAAGAAACCAAATCATTGTGAGAAGTGTTGAAATTGACTGAAAATAAGTGAATAAATGCAAAGAATAGTTGAAAGTGGCTTTAGAAATCTCTTACATATGCAAAATATGTGTTAAAATCGATTGGTTCAAGTTGCCAAATCGATATGCAATTGAGAAAAGACATTGTGGTCATGATTGAACAAGCGATCACCTCCTGAAAACGATTTTCGCTCATTTTCGATCATTTTCGATCATTTTCGATTCACATTTCTATTCATTCTTCATGTTTTCTAAGCTTAAACAAATGCGATTTCTATTATTTAATTCTAGCTTAAACAAATGCGTTTTCTATTGTTTAATAGAAATTCTAATTCGGCTAAATTCCGCAATTTTTTTTGGCGCAACATTTGGGCATCTACGCAACTCGCCATAACTTTCTTCTAAGTGGGCCAATCTTTATGATTTCTAGTGTCATTTTGTTGCACTTATTGAGATCTACAAACTGAAACCAAAATCATAAAGATTGACTGACTTAGAAGAAAGTTATGGCGAGTTGCGCAAAAAAAAATTGCGGACATTAGCCTACCCCCAATTTCTTTTTTGCAAGTTTGCAAGCTTAAACAAAGGCTATTTTTATTGTTTAATTCTAATTCGTAAAAATGTAAAAACAAATTTCCCACATTTATTCCCATAAAATAGAAAAGAAAAAGCGAATAAAACTAGAGTTTAATGATTGTTTGTTGAGAAAGAAAAATTTCTTTTCTTTTCTCTTTTTTCAAATTCTAGATTGAAAGCTAATTTAAATTTCAATTCTTTTGCTGAGAAAACAATTTGAGAAAACCAACTTAAACAACAGAAAGAAAGATTTCTGTTTTAATCCTCTCTCTTTTGAACAAACCAAATATGCCCATTCTGGCTCATGCACACTTTCGTTTGCCCAAATTGTCACCGAAATTGCGATTAAAAGCGGGAGAACCTGAAAGAGAAAAATGATTTTTATTTAAAAACATCTAAAAACATCTAAAAACGGGAGTGGGACAAATGCGACCTTTTTTTTGCGCACCCGGACATTTGCGCACCTTTTTTCGCGTTTTAAAAAAGCCCTAAAAGCTAATATTAACCAATTTCTATTCCAAAAGTTGTTTTTCTAGGTAATTTTAGGGTATCGAATTCAAATTTTGGCATAACAGAGCTTGTGGAACCAATTTGAAAGACCAATTTGAAAGACAAAACGGCTAAATCAAATTACAGAAAATTGTCGATTTTTCTCTTTGTATAACTCCGTCCGTTTGTTTCCACAAGCTCTGATATGTCAAAATTTCGATTCTACACCTTAAAATTACCTAGAAAAAGAACTTTTGGAATAGAAATTGATTAATATTAGCTTTTTAGAGCTTTTTAAAACGCGAAAAAAGGTGCGCTAATGGCCAAGGTGCGGAAAAAAAGGTGCGCAAATGTCCGGGTGCGCAAAGAAAAGATCGCATTTGTCCCACTCCCGTAATTGAGTGGTAATTGAATGATAATTGAATGATAATTGAATGTTATTTGAATGTTATTTGATGAATTCTTACTTTTCACAATATAAAATCAATCCCAGAGACTTATGAAAGAAAAATAAATGAAAATAAATGATTTTTTTCGATTCTAACCTGCCATGAGGTAAGCTTTGTTGATGGATATTGTCGATTTTCCCATAGAATAAACAAGAGAAGAAGAAGAAAGATCTAAATTTAATTTTATGATATAAAAGCTATTTCATTTAAACTCCTACCAAACATAAAATCTTTAAAATATGCGGAAATCTGGAGAGATTTCGGAAACTCATTCAAAATAAAATCAGAATCCAATAATAGTATCGAATAATAATCGAATAATAATCGAATATCGAAATAAAGTAATATAAAGAACTTTGGGAATTTAGAGCTTCAATTTAGAGCTTCAAAAAAGTATCATTTTCATTGAGGGAGAGTTTGGGAGCTTGGGAGTTTTGAGAAAAATTGAACAACTGTTCCGTTCTAGAGGCGCCTTTCTTACCACAAAAAAGAACAAAGATATTTGTAAAGTAGGCAAGTTCAGGAGTTCTTTGATGAACCCAAACAAGTGCAAAGGAAAATTACGTTTAGAACTAAAAATTTCTAATGATTGAAATCAAAAAAAGGTCTCAGTAAGGCTTTCTTTTTCTCTCCTCCAGTCTCTTCGGCTCTTCATCTTCATCACCATCCTCATCTTCATCTTCATCTTCATCTCCAGCTACATCTTCATCTCCGTCTCCATCTCCATCTCCGTCTCCATCTTCATCTTCATCTTCATCTCCAGCTACATCTTCATCTCCGTCTCCATCTCCATCTCCGTCTCCATCTTCATCTTCATCTTCATTGGATTTTATATTGAAATTAAGAATTGAAAAACTAAGGATACAAACAAATACAAATACAAATGATTCAGAAGATAAAATTAATGAATATTTGAAAAGAATCAAAACGAATAGAATTTATTGAATAGAATTTATAGAATAGAATTTATAGAAAATTACATGAATTACATGAATTTATTTATAGAAAATTAATTTTTCAAAAATGTTCGGTTAGTAGAGTAGCATTTGAATAAATCAATTAAAAGATACAAAAAAAAAGCATTTGTCTTTCTGGTTTTTTGTTTTTAAATAAAAATTAAATAAATTTAAAATTTAAATAAAGGATAAGCGAATAGATGACAAAAAAAGGTTGACTAAAAGTAAACAAAATTTCGAAACTTTCTTGATGGGGGACTTTGTTTACAATCTAATAAAAAGGAATTTACTAGGTTGGTGCAAATGAAATTTCGTTTTTTTACAAACATTAAAGTCATCCAAAATTTTCTTAGATAACAATTTATTTAAAACAATAAGCACCATTATTACAGTACCGAGCAAAAGTCTTGCAACATCACTTTTTCAAAAAAATCGATGAAATTTTTTTATAGAAAATGCCACCCGTTCGTAGGGCTTTTTTGTTTTTAATTAGAATAATACATGTACACTTTATTTACAAAAACAAATTTGAAGTTCAGCGTAAAACAAAAAAGTAAATGACAAAACTACTAAAAAATACCCTAAAAACTGGGTGCAAAAGTCTTGCAACATTATACAGAAACATCAAAAATTAATATTCAATCGGTCCACCTTTTGCCAAAATCATTTCATTAAGTCGTTTAGGCACTGAGTCGACTAATTCGTGAAGAATTGCTGGGCGAATTGTGCCCAAACTTTTCGTATGTAGAACCATAAGTCAACTTTTGTGTGAAGTCTTTTCCTCGTAACTTTGCCTTCACGTAAGCCCATAAATTCTCAAGAACGTATAATCAGGCGACTGGGGCACATTGTCAACAAACATTATTAAGGGCAAACCATCCAGGGAGATGCGCTTTTCCTCAATTAAGAGTTCACCGTACGACCCATCATGAGCTTGCTCTTGTGAACCGGCGAATTGTCCTGGTAGAGAAACCATTCAGGGCCATGTGATCCTGGCAAATGGAAGTAGACATCCTTCTAGTATTTCCATATACTGGCGGCATTCATGGTTGACTGACGAGGACGAGCGGACCTGCCAATTTTTTGTCATCACCCCTAGAAAAAGACAAATTAATGCATGTATTAGAAATAAGGCTTACCAAAACACTGATTGATTCTCCGCCAGCTCGCATTGTAGGTTGCACATATTTAAGAAGTATTTGCTTTCCAATGGGTCGTCTATTAAGTGGTTGCCTTTTGGAGAAAAGATTCCACTTTTGTTTCATCGACAAAAATCACGTTGGCCTAATCCTGCTTTGTCCAACTTTGGTACGTCCTGGCGAATAGAGCCGTTGTTTCCTGTGGCCAGCGGTCATCAAAGGCTTTCGTACAGCTCTCCGGCTATACAGTCCTGCTTGAGTCAATCGTCAAGAAACGGCCCATCGAGAGTATCCTTGTTTGTACATCCTTGATCAGCCGAGCTCCCTCAGTTGATGTCATGTTCGGATCCTTCTTGGAAGCCATCACAAGTATTCGATCCTCTTCTGCTGTTGTTCTTCTTGGCCGTCCTTTCTTCTCTTCGGTGCATAGTCCAGTTGTTTTGCTTTTGAAACAATGCGAGAACGGTCGATGGTCGCATTTGAAGAGATCGGAGACAGCGGCTCGAGAAATTCCTTTTTTCTTGCTTTCATGATTTTTCTTTTTCGGGAGTCGTCAAGTAGGTACCTGGCATCTGAAAAAAACAAAAATTAGTGTAAATTAATAAATTTGAAAACAATAAAAATGAGAAACATAGAATGTTGCAAGACTTTTGCACCCAGTTTTTAGGGTATTTTTTAGTAGTTTTGTCATTTACTTTTTTGTTTTACGCTGAACTTCAAATTTGTTTTTGTAAATAAAGTGTACATGTATTATTCTAATTAAAAACAAAAAAGCCCTACGAAGGGGTGGCATTTTCTATAAAAAAATTTCATCGATTTTTTTGAAAAAGTGATGTTGCAAGACTTTTGCTCGGTACTGTATCTATGACATCCCTCCAACGTTGCTTCAGATTGCGGATCCCCTTCTCAAAGAACGCTTGATTCTGTGATGCAAAGTAGTTGGTCACCCAATTTTCGACTTCTTTTGCATTCTTAAACTGGCAATTCTCAAGGGAATGTTGCATCGATCTGAAAAGGTGAAAATCGGAGTGTGCTAAGTCTGGACTATACGGCGCATGTGGTAAGACCTTCCATCCTAGCTTCTCTAGTTCCTTACAAGAGGTTTTTGCCGTGTGAGCTGGAGCATTATCACGGAGAAAGTTGATAGTTGAGGGATTTAGGCCTTTTTCACGCAAAATTTCGTCAACCTTCTTGAGTTGTTGAATAAAATAAGATGAATCGACTGTTTTTCCGGGCTCAAAATGAACAAGTCCATTGATATTCCACCAGCAAGACAACATCACTTTGCGCCCATGATAATCCGGCTTTGGAGTTGGAATTGGCGCTTAACCTTTGCTCAGCCATTATCTTTTTCGAGAAGTATTATCAAAGTGAATCCACTTCTCATCCATCGTCAAGATATTCTCAAAAAAATGGCTTCTTTTCGACTTATGGAGCAAGATATGGCTGATCGAAACGCGTGCTCCCAGATTCTCAACACTCAATTGATGTGGAACCCATTGTCCATTACGATTTGTCTTTCCAATTATTTCCAAATGGCGTACAATTGTTGAATGATCACATTGGAGATGTTTGGCAAGTTCTCGTGTTGTTTGCATTGGATCAGCTTCAATTAATTGTTCCAATTCATTGTTGTCGATGGCTGTGGCACGATGTCCATGCGATTCGTCTTCAAGGGATTCATTACCATCTCGGAATTGGGCAAACCAGAGCTGGCATGATCTTTCGGTGATAACCTGTTCTCCAAAGGCGGAACAGAGATCACGATGTGAATCAGCAGCGTTTTTGCCCATTTTGAAGTCATAGAGAAGACACGTGCGCAGAACATACTTTTGATCCACCATGATCTAAAGCAAAAATCAATTAAAAAGTGAAAGCTCTGACTTTGAAAAAATGCGAAAATAAAGTAAATATCCAAGAGTACAAATGCACAAAAGAACATCAAATAAGCTCTTCAGATTAAAAAAATAAGAACATTTTATATCGACCGAAATTTCTTTTGCACCAACCTAATATTTAAATTTAAATTTATTTAGATTAATTTTAAAGCTTTTAAAGCTTTAATAGAGAATTTTCAGGGTAAGATCCTCAAAAGGAAAGGTGATGGGTGGGTGGAGGGGGAGGGGTGAGGGAGAGGGAGAGGGATAGGGAGAGGGGTGATAAAAAGGCGATGGGTGGTCTCGGGCTTTGTGAATCCATTGGCTCTTTTCTATCGAATTTCCCCATCTCCCATTCGCATTACAGAAAAGAAAAGTCATAGTTAAACAGTCAAAAAAATCAAATCATTCTTTTATTTCAACGATTTTCGAAGCGAAAACATATATTCATCTTATAAAATAAATAAAATAAACAAAAATTTGTCAAAATTTGTCAAAATTTGTCGAAATTTGTCAAAATTTGTTGAAATTCTTCTTGAAATGTATGGAATTGAAAAGAGAATTCAATTTTATTAATGATTACTTTGAATTGGCAATTGAATTGGCAATTTCTTAAGCTCAGATCTTTTTTTGTAAAGTAAAAGAAAGTAAAAAACAAAAATCTAGTCAAAATGTTGCTTTTTTTGAGCGCGAAAACGTCAAGCAATTAAACTAATTTCAACTTTAAATCAAAAAGATAAAAACATTTAAATGTTTAGCATTTAAAGCCTCGCTCATTGTTTCTGTTTCTTGCACTTACATGCTCTATCTAGCCTAGAAGAACGATCATTTTTGAGTGGCCTGTTTTTCTGACTTTGTTCCCAGGCTTCGTTGACTGACTTTGTTCACTGACTTTGTTCCCAGACTTCGTTCACTGGCTTTGTTCACTGACTTTGTTCCCAGACTTCGTTGACTGACTTTGTTCACTGACTTTATTCCCAGACTTCGTTCCCAGACTTCGTTCACTGACTTTGTTCACTGACTTTATTCCCAGACTTCGTTCCCAGACTTCGTTCACTGACTTTGTTCACTGACTTTATTCCCAGACTTTGTTCCCAGACTTCGTTCCCAGACTTTGTTTTTGAGAAACCCCATCGAGAACCTCTGTTTTGACTTGACGAGTTTATGCAAATCGAGTAAAGTTTGCTAAGATCACCGATCTTCAAAAGACACTTAAACACAAATGAGCTAATATGCTAATATGCTAATATGCTACTTTGCTTTAAAAACTAATACCTTTAATGCACTCAAGCTTATTCAAGCAATTTTTAAACTTATTGGAAAGAAAGGCAGCAAATCGTCGAAAGAAATCGAAGTTTTTAAGTTTAGAACTCTTAGAACTCTTATGGGTTTATGCGGGATTGGTAAAAGTTTAACAATTGAGTGAAGAGATGAGAGAATCCTCTGCTTCGGCGCCGTAAAAGGCCTACAATTTTCGATGTTTTTCGATGCTTTTCGACTTTTTATCCCCTTTAGAGAATTTCCAGACAAAAATTTGAAAAGGAAACGTGATGGGTGGTCGCGGGCTTGTCCCCTTTTCCATCCATTCCCCGTCTCCCATTCCCTTTTCACAAAACAATCTATAGTGCTGGTTTTTTTTGCTTCAAGAATATTTCAAAAGAGTGAAATTGTGAATCTATCGAATTGGCCATTAAATTAGTCAAATCATTGTTTTATTGTGATTTTCTAAGCAAAAACTTATCTAAATCAATGCTGAAATATCTAAATCAATGGTTTTGAGGATGTTTTTTTGCTTTAAGAATATTTCAATGAGTGAAATCGATTGGATTGGTCATTAACCCAATCGGTTGGATTGATCATTAACGCAGCGTTTTTTTCTTTTTTTCGTTGCCCTCATCGAGAAGCGATCGTTATGCTTTTGAAAGCCGGAGAGTCGAAGGCGGCCATCTCGCGAAAGCTCAAAACCAACATCAGAACTGTTCAACGGCTTGCCAAACAATTGCGAGAGAAAGGACACGTCAATGAGAAGCCGAAAAAGGGAAGACCTCGATCGGTGAACACGCCAAACATCCGGAAGCTTATCAAACAGCGAATTGACCGAAACGACGAGCGAAGCTTAGGAGCTGAAAATCTCGGATTGGTCGGTTCGGAACATTGTGAAAAAGGGACCAAGCCTTTTTTTTTGACATTTTTGACTCCGAAGCAGTTTATCCAGATGGTTGGAAAGATTTAAGAGAGTCTCCTACACCATTTATTTTTGATGAAGAACGATTTGGATTTGACTTCAATACTTTTCAAGATCCTATTATTCTTATTTTATCGACGACAAATTAATCGATATGTTAGTAGGCGAATCTAATAAACATGGAAAAAAGGAAAACAAGCTGGCAGGATGCAGGATTTCGATGCAAAATCTTTCAAGCTCTTCCTGGCTCTGTATCTTCAAATGGGAATCGTCAAATTACCGAGGATTCGTGACTACTGGAGTAGCAGGCCTGGATTAGGAGGATTTTCCCACATGTCCCACATTATGTCAAGAGCAAAATTTGAATCTATTCTTTGAAACCGGCGTTTTTGTGATAATGAACTGGATCCTGCAGGAGATCGGCTTTATAAGATTAGAGCTATTGTGGAACATTTCAATGCAAAACCAGAGGCTGCATTGATTCCGGGTAAATATGACACGTCTTTTTTTTGCCTACGTAATTTGTAGATTTGTTACAATTGGAATATACATGTAATGCTGAAAAACAGCAAAAAAAGAACCAATTAATTGAATGAAAATAACTCAATTAGCGCTGCAGCGGTCCGTTCCTGAGTTTTTGCTGCAGCGATTATTCGCTGCAGAAGTTTCGAATGGGTTAACGGTGAGCAAATCGGAGAAATCCTGATTTTGCCAGTTCTGAATGAGCGTTTGAATGAAATGAAACCTTCCGTTGTCCTTGTTTTGTCCCGCTTTCTCAAGGGGACTTCCAAAAATTGACATATACTCATAATTGTCCGTCTGCACGGAAATCTTTAGTAAAAGGCGAAAGATTTTCTCGGTCAAATGCAGACGAACCAGAGATACGAAAAGTGGGAAAGGAAGCGGTTAAAGGAAAAGGAGTATGCCAGAAAGAGAACGATTACACGATTACGTGCGCGCACAAAGAACGCTCAAAGGAGCCATTATACTGGATTACGGGCGCACAGAACGAACAAGAGAGCACACAGGGGAGAGTGGGAGACTGAGAAAATTGGAGTGGGGACGGGAAACAGAGACATCGGGGAGACATAGAGGAGAAAGAAGTTGTGGAAAATAGTGTGCAATCTTTAGAGAACACAGAGCAAACAACTCATTCGCCTTTTTTAGAGGTTCTTTGCGCGTTCTTTCTTTCTTCCACCAATCGCCCACTTTCTCGCACATTCTCCACACAGATATGTTTCCCATTTTACCATTCTAGTATCGCTTCTGGCCTCTGGCTAAGATCAATGTGTAGTATCTGTTCTTATCGGCTTAATCTCCGGTACGAGTTCTATTGAACTCATCGAGATTAATCAATTTTTGGAACGGGTATGGTTTGTAGAAGCTTGCTTCTCGCCATACAGCGTCGGCCCGCTATTGCACTTACCGGCGGGATCGGCGCACAACCCCCACAAGGGGAACAAAATGAAAGAAAGAAGAGAATAGGAAAGTTCTGTTCGATTGGAAATCATGTATACTGGAAATATTCCAATAGAAGACGCAGATCTTCTATTTTTCGATCCCTCAAAATCAGTCGATCAAAAAAGTAGTTAAGGGTCCCGTAGATGAGCCAAAATTTTTGAGAATCGTCAAAAACTATTCAAAACAATAGAATTTTGTTTAAAACGTGCCAAAAAGAGGTTTAAAAGTGAAACTATTCTCATAGAAATGATTCCGGATCCATAGAGAATCTTCCAAAAAAAAACAAAATCCCTGTGGGGCCTCTTATGAATTTTTGTTGAATACGTTTCCAATTTTGGACTAAAATACTTCTATTTGGACTAAAATCTCGAATTCTAACTTAAAAGAAGTTCGGAAAAGTCCCGATTTCAAGGAATTTAAGGCTTTTTTATTGAAATAATTACGGTAGTCTTTCTATAAATTTTTACGTTGTCTCCACGATTGCTGACTGGTCGGATCTGAAGTTCAACGCCAAGAAATGCGCTTCGCTCGTCGTGGATGGTCGCCAACACACCGCCCTCCGAACTCAATTCCACATCCAAGCCAAGCCGATGGTTATGCTGAAGGAAGACGACACCTACGAACACCTCGGAGTGCCCACGGGATACCACACCGCCCCATCCGCCGAACATGCCCTGCAGAAGATGACAGCCCACGTCGAAGCCCTCGACTCCTCTCTTCTCGCCCCGTGGCAAAAAGCGGATACTGTCAACACATTCGTCCTCCCGTGCATCTCCTTCCATCTCAAGAACGGTGTCGTCCCCAAGAATTTAAGGCTTTTTTATTCAAATAATTACGGTAGTCTTTCTATAAATTTTTACTTTCAACAAAACATTCTGAAGATCTTTTAAAGTAAGAGCTACAACTTTGATTTGAAAAATTTACCTTAGATAAACAACAATAACCAGTTTTTGAGAATACCTTGGTTTAACTTCGACAACAGACGTCCCATATGCCGTTCAGTGCGGACCGTGAGCTTTCGATGGCGCCCCGGAGACTTTTTCTTGCCATACTTGAAAGGATCCTTCAAGAAATTTCAGACAACTTGGTACGAGCGCTTCATTTTTTTGCGGTCTTCCGATTCGAGAACTTTCTTCCTTTCAAAATCAAAATTTTCATCTGTTCGATCCTCGAAAGCGATTTTCCACGCCCCATCTTCCTAAAAAATAAAAATTATTAAAAGTAAGCAAAAAACATGGTTATTACAGGTAGAAAATCGAAAAGAAAAGAAACGTAGTGGTCCTATCATTTTGCAACAGGTGTAAAATAAAGAAATGCTTTAAAAAATTTTCCTTTTAAAGTAAATTATTTGGCAAACGGTATTTGTATATAAAGGTATATATTTGTATTTATTTATTTATTTCTTCTTCTTCTCCTTCTTCTTCTTCTTCTTCTTCTTCTTCTCCTTCTTCTTCTTCTCCTTCTTCTTCTTCTTCTCCTTCTTCTTCTCCTTCTTCTTCTTCTTCTTCTTCTCCTTCTTCTCCTTCTTCTTCTTCTCCTCCTTCTTCTTCTTCTTCTTCTTCTTCTTCTTCTCCTTCTTCTCCTTCTTCTTCTTCTTCTTCTCCTTCTTCTTCTCCTTCTTCTCCTTCTTCTCCTTCTTCTTCTTCTCCTTCTTCTCCTTCTTCTTCTTCTTCTTCTTCTTCTTCTTCTTCTTCTTCTTCTTCTTCTTCTTCTTCTTCTCCTTCTTCTTCTTCTCCTTCTTCTCCTTCTCCTTCTTCTTCGTGCTTTTGTATATAAAATTCGAATTTAAGCATCGTTTTGCATTTTTAGTTATTTAAAATCGAAAATCGCAAAAATCGAGAGTGGTCCTATCATTTTGCAACGCACTGTATAATCGTATGATTAAAAACAACACTATAAACATTCCCAGAATTAGTCAAGAAAATCTCTCTCTGGTGTTACTTACAAGAAAACTGAAAGTAAGTTGTTGTACTGGGTACACTTCACTCTCAATGAATTTGACTTAAAAACTAAAACTCTTATCAACAGCCAAATGCAAATTTGGCTTGTTTAGCTGAATATATTTTGAAAATCTCAATGCTGAGCTAACTCTATTCAACTTTGCGTAAACTTAACGTGGTGACGGTGACGAGCTGAGTGATCCAATTGACTCTAGCTCAAGCTGTAAGTCAGCCAGCCAGGCCCAGACCCAGAAAAATCGATGCAACATCTCCAGTGGCAATGTAACAAACCGAGAGAAACACTCCAAAGCTCTAGTTGTTTTGTGTTGTAAAGTGATTCGCGGGACTTCAATATCTTCAATGACTTTGGTTTTGCAAGGTTTTTTGTTGCAAGCTACACAAAACAACATCTCACAATAAAAGCTATAAAACATAGTTAGCGCTATAAAACATAGTTAGAGCTTGCTGGATGAGTTGTGAAGAGGCTGGATCTGAAAAAAAGTTCAGTTTTCTTCTCCAATTCGTTTAGCTGTCAACGTAATATGATGAAATCTATAATTTTCAAAGATTTATCTCTTTATATATTAGGTTGGTGAATTGAAAAAACTGCGGGACTTTGAACTAAAATTTATTGAACATAAAACCATAAATTCATTCCAAATAATTTCCATTATTACTGACGACTTTTGCCCATTTTACAGGCAATTTGCGGATTCTAAATTCCTAAGCCTAAGAACGTCATCCACATTGAAAGCGTTATCAGCGATCATCCTCCGAAGTTTCGACGCCCACAAATCATTGGATCTTTTCTCAAATCGTGCCAATAATACTTCTTGCCGTCGGGACCATCCAAGTTAAATTTTTTTTTCATCGCTGAAGATGACCTAGAGAAAAATAGTTAGCAACTCAAGGCAAAAATTTTACTTCTTCAGTCGATGGTGATGTGATCCCGAGCCCAAGACATCCTTTTTTCTTTGTGTGCCCGCTTCAGTTTTGGTGCTTTCTTCATGACTGCTCTTTTGATGTAACGGAGAAAGAGTGCTTTTGTGGAGGGGAGCTCCAATTTGTACCTTGACGTCCTGTAGCGACATCACCGAAATCGACAACAGACATCCCATATGCCGTTCAGTGCGGACCGTGAGCTTTCGATGACGTCCCAGAGACTTTTTCTTGCCATACTTGAAAGGATCCTTCAAGAAATTTCAGACAATTTTCAGACATTTCAGGTTCAGAGTTCAGAGTCCGGCCGGACCGACCGGGATTCGAGAAAATCGATTTTATGACGTTCCAGAAAAGCTTTAGTGGATTGGCTGACATGAATTGAAGCATTATCCCGTTGAAAAATAGAGTGTTTCCCTCAATTTTGTGTTAGGAAAGGAAGTAGTTGATCCGGAAGGACGTCCTGGTAATCGTTCGAGTTCATGCGACAAGTCACAAATTCTAAATCAAGAACGTCATCCACATTGAAAGTGCCCCATATCATCAGTGATCATCCTCCGAAGTTTCGACGCCCATAAATCATTGTATCTTTTCTCAAATCGTGCCAATAGTACTTGTTGCCGTCGGGACCATCCAAATTAAATTTTTTCTCATCGCTGAAGATGACCTAGAGAAAAATAGTTAGCAACTCAAGGCAAAAAGTTTACTTTTCAATCGATGCTGATGTGATCCCGGGTCCAAGACATTTAGACACTTTTAGAAAAGACAAAGAAGAATTAGAAATAAGGAAACTTGTTGTAATAGTGTGTGTAAGTTCGATAAATTTATTGATCTGTTGGCCATGGATCTGTTGGCCATATTTGATAGACTCAAACGAAAGCAATTCCTGTGCTGTTTTATTTTGACGAAAAAGAAAGAGTTGAGTGCTAGTTTTTGAGAGAAAAGAATAAAAGAATTGGAAAGAGAATTGAGGAGTGACCTTGTCTTAAAGTGAGGTAAAAAAAAGGAGAGGTCTCCGTCAGTCTCTTTTCTTTCTCTTCCCATTTTCTTTCTCTTCTACTCATATTTGTCCGAAAAACAGTTTTTAATAAGTTTTTTTTCTTACGAAGAGATAGGAGGTCATTTTATTCATTTTTTTTGTAAAGTCTCACTTGTCAATGTCGGTAAAGTTATTGAATTTTGTAATCAAACGACTTTCATTCATTCGTAATTCTGTTTTGTTTGTTTTAATGGTAACTAGAAAGTTCTTTTAATGGTAACTAGAAAGTTCTTTTAATAGTAATTGTAAAGTTCTTTTAATAGTAATTGTAAAGTTCTTTTAATGGTAACTAGAAAGTTCTTTTAATGGTAATTAGAAAGTTCTGTTAATGGTAACTAGAAAGTTCTGTTAATAGTAACTAGAAAGTTCTTTTAATGGTAATTAGAAAGTTCTGTTAATGGTAACTAGAAAGTTCTGTTAATAGTAACTAGAAAGTTCTTTTAATGGTAATTATAAAGTTCTTTTAATAGTAATTGGAAAGTCTAAAATTTTCAAATTCACATTTCCAAAAGAAAATGGGATTTTTTGAGAGTAAATTTCTTAAATTTAAAAAAAAAACGAACTTTTCGTTGAACTTGCTTATTGTCACTTTTCCAATACGAATCCTCAACCCATTTGATTTCCTATTATCTATTTCTATTCCTATTATCTATTTCTATTCCTATTATCTATTTCTATTCCTATTATCCATTTCTTTCTTTTCTCTACATTTCCCCTTAAAGCTACTCTCTTTTTTTTTCTCTCTCAACTTTTCTATCAACATTTTCAAATAAGCACAACAAAAGCATTTTCTTCAGTCATTTTCTTTTCTCTTTCTTTTTCCTTCTTTTTCCTTTCCTTTCTTCTTTTTCCCTCAAGGCATACAGCCAAAGTACAGTCAAAGTCTATCTGTTTTGTTTTTTTCTGTTTTCTCTTCCTAAATTTTCTTCTTTTTCTCTTTATCATTTCTTTTCTTTTCAATAAAAAATGAGCACAAAATCAAGAATTTTTACTTGATATTTTCAATAATTGATATTAAAATTCATTTCGATCAACAGTAATAAAAGAATGACAATCAATCAAAAAAAACCAAAAGCCACTTTTTATATAAAAGAATAGTGTCCGTTCGTCGATCTCTCTCTACGGGCTTTTTTTTCTTTCTTAGCCTTCTTCTTTGAGCCTAAAAAAGCTAAAACTTATTTAAAAGAAACCTTAGAATCTATTGTAGTTGTGCTATAGGATTAAAAAAAGTCTTTTTAATCAAACTTGAGTGTAAGACTCGGGAATCGAATTTGGATCGTGTAGACAAGCGCACTCCATGCTTCGCTCCCTGCTTTGCTCCATGCTTTGCTTCATGCTCCATGCTCCATGCTCCATGTTCCATGCGCTCCATGCTTTGCTTCATGCTTTGCTCCATGCTTTACTCCATGCTTTGCTCCATGCTTTGCTCCATGCTTTGCTCCATGCTTTGCTTCATGCTCCATGCTCCATGTTCCATGCGCTCCATGCTTTGCTTCATGCTTTGCTCCATGCTTTACTCCATGCTTTGCTCCATGCTCCATGCTTCATGTTCCATGCGCTCCATGCTCTATGCTCGATCAACAGTAATAAAAGAATGACAATCAAACAAAAAACAAATGCTTAATCAAAAAAAAACAAACTTTTCTATCAACATTTTCAAATAAGCACAACAAAAGCATTTTCTTTTCTCTTTCTTTTTTTTTTCTTTTCTCTTTCATTTCTCTTTCCTTTCTTTTTCCCTCAAGGCATACAGCAAGAACTCAATATCTTTCTCTTTGGCATTTCTTTTCTTTTCTTTTCTTTTCTTTTCTTTTCAATCAAATCATCATACTCGAGAATTTTCTAATTGTTATTGAGTTAATTTCAAACAACATTAAAGCAATGACAATCATTTATTTGGATTCAAGAGATTCAAAACTATCATCCCTTTCTTTACGCACAACTTCTTCGCAGAAGTACAGGATGCCTCAAAAGTTCTTATACTTTTTATGTAACTAGTTTTTTTTTTGTTACTTAAACGAAAAAAAAACTAAAGCCGGATTCGAAAAAAATCAGCTATTTTTATCCCAATATACCCATTTTCATCAAAAAGTTGTTTAGAGTTGAAAGTTTTAAGCAAAAATAGTAGAGGAATAAAAATAGTTGAATTTTTTGCATAATCGGATATTGTTTTTCAAGTCAAAATGTTCGTTTACAAAAAGTTGAAGAACTTTTGAGACAACGGGTATTCCGGAATTTGCAAGGGATGGAAATTTGGTTAAATGAGTGGAAGTTAATGAAAGTTAATGAACTGAATGAACTGAATGAACTGAATGAAAGTAAATGTTAATCGATTGCAGATGAAAGGTAGAAATTGATGATTTCATCAAAATGGTTGTGTCCCTGAATCGTCTGCTTTCCATCCATCCATCCATCCATTCATTCATCCATCCATTCATCCATCCATCCACCCCTCCCCCACCCTCCCAAATGCACATGAAATCAAATGGGACATTTCTCCCTCTCTTTCCCCGTTTCTCTTCTCGTATTTGCCGATTTCGATAAATATACATATCTCACTATTTACTCGATTTTTTTGATTGTTTGATTGTTTGATTGTTACTTTGTGAATCATGAAATAAGTTTTAACCCATTCGCGACGATCGTGCGTTGTTACTGTTGTCATTGTTGTTACTGTTGTCATTGTTGTTACTGTTGTCATTGTTGTTACTGTTGTCATTGTTAAATTAAACTATTGAATTAAACTATTGAATTAAACTATTGAATTAAACTATTGAAATTAAACTATTGAAATTAAACTATTGAAATTAAACTATTGAAATTAAACTATTGAATTAAACTATTGAAATTAAACTATTGAATTAAACTATTGAAA